CTAACGTTGAGTGGGCGGGGCCAGCAGCACTGCTCAGTCCCCCACAGTGCCCAGGATGCCCCCTAAGAGAGTGACCATCCCTAAGTGGAGTTGTGGGAATTAATTTCTGCTTTAACCACAGAACACCGTGGGCTCAGTGCCTGGGCTCCAACAGCAAGTGAGCCTTTCACTGCTGGATGAAATCTAGAAGGAGATTTTGGTCTGGCCTCACTGTTTACAATTTTGGGGTGAAAGGTGCCTTGCCCCCTCCCTCCAGGACTAAAGCAGATGCCTGTGGTCACTCCCACCTCCCTGACAGAAGGGGGAGGGAGCTGCCCCCCAGAACCAGAGGCCCCTGCCTCCCCACATCCCTACCGAGCTGGGAAGTTGCCTCTGTACCGTGTGTCCTCACAGGGACTCTCCCTGACACCCCTGTGCTCCCCCTCTCCTCCCCAACCCCTGCTTTTTTCAAGTTGCTGTACTTTGTTTTTCTACCAAGAGGATGCATTTTCTTTTTCCTTTCCACCTACAATGCTCCCAAATTAAAGTGTGTCTTGCCAGCCGAGGCACAGGGCCTGCCCAAGTCAAAGGAACCCTCCCCACCCTCTCGGGTCTCCAGGCCTCTGCCGGCTCCCCACGGCCTGAGGCCCCAGGCACCGCCTGCGCTCTGGTCCAGCGGGCGGAGTTCTGGAGGCTCCTCACTGGACCAGGCTCTGGGTGGGCTGCAAGGCCACGCTCTCGACCCCAGGGCGCTGGGGGTCAGCTGCAACCTCCGTCACTTCCTGGGGGGTAAACATGATGCGCCGCGCCGCAGCGACCTGTGGATTCTGGACCCTTGGCCTGGAATCAGTCGTCTGTGTAAGACCCTGGAGGGCTTCCAAGAGGCAGGAAACAGATTTCCAGACCAGATGCTCTTCCAGTCTTAAGAAAACAGGGCCCAAATACCAACAGAGATACTAACAAATCACAAACTCGTTTGAGGACCCCTAAGCACCCCCTAGGGCGGGCGGGTGGGAGTAAGCCCTTGCAATGAAATCGTGGGCCCCTGTAGAAAAGTTGAAGACCATTATGAAGTTAACTAAAAGTCCATCTGCTCCTCATTTTCACCGTGAGCTGCGATTCTGAACAATGTCATCCATACCTACTCTTCCCTGGGAAAACGCTTCTGTCGGTCTACGGGCAGTTGCTGTTGAGTTATAGTAAGCCTTAAATGGGACATTTTTAATACTTGTAAATGTTGACTAAGTAAATAATAAAGACCGCATTCCAGCAAATAATAAATACTGCATTCTACATGCAAGGGAATTCAGAGACACACACGGACTTTACTGCAAGCTTTTGAAAGCAAATTTCTGCCCGTTTTGGACTCATTCAAGGTCTGGGGGAAATTTTGTGCCTGGAAATCCAAATGGAAAACTGTGAAACGAAGTGGGATAGTGTTTTTGCTTGCTAAGTGCAAAATTTAGCTCCTACTTGAAACGTGTTTCTGATTTCACTGCCAGGAGTAGTATTTTTGCCTGGGGCAAATTTCAGTTCCCACGTGCAGCGTCTGCCAGGAGTAATACTTACGGTTATAAGTCCAAATGTGACACCAAGTATTTTACTAAGTTTGAGTATTATCTTTAACACCGAAAATTCTCTTAATTGTAAGGGGTCTTAAAACGTGTAAGGTTGAATCCAGAACGTCATCATCATGACCGGTCATTAGGAGGTTTTTACTGAAAATAATGTCGGGGTGGGAGGGTCCCGCTGGGAACCACCCCCTTCTCCCAGCTACTCGGGGCCTTTGTCGCCCCGAGCCGCCAGGCGCAGGGGTCCCGCTACCGGAAGGACCCGAGCGAAGACCACGGTGGACACCGGGCCACCTCAAGAACCTCGACAGCGACGTCCCAATCCCAAGCCAGGTGGTGGAGACGGGGCGGGCAGGGCGCGCGCGCGGCGCTTTCCAAGCGCCACGGCCACTCCGCCCCCCGCGCGCCCGCAGAGCGGCGTAAACAAGAGGGGCGTGGCTCGACTCAGTCGCCGTTCGCCAATCAGGCGCCGAGAGAGGCGGGCACCCTTGGGTTTCCCGGCGGTGCCACGGCCCCGCCCCTCGCGTGGCCTCGCTCCTGGCGGCGTGGGGGGCGTGGCCCGGGCGCGGCGCCTATAAAGGCGGGAGACGGCCGTGGCGCCATTTTGCGAACGGCGAGCAGCGGCGGCGGCGCGGAGAAGCGCGGCGGAGGTTTTCCTGGTTTCGGACCCCAGCGGCCGGATGGTGAAATCCTCCCTGCAGCGCATCCTCAACAGCCACTGCTTCGCCAGAGAGAAGGAGGGGGATAAATCCAGCACCACCGTCCACGCCAGCCGCACCATGCCGCTCCTCAGCCTGCACAGCCGCGGCGGCCGCAGCAGCGAGAGGTGAGCGCCCCGCCCCCGCCCGAAGCTTCCAGAAGCGCTGCCGCGCAGGCCCGCAGGGGGCCGGCCGCGGGGCGCCACGGAGGTCCCGGAACGCGAGCTCCGCCCCTCGGCCGAGGTGCCCCCGCCCCGGGGGCGGGGCGGAGGCACACCCCTTGGGCAGCCCTTGGGGTGCGAGCGGAGGGGCTCTGGTCGGATTTTGGGGGGCGCAGGGGACCGCAGTCCAGTTTGAGAGGCGGGATGTCTGTGGTCGGAGCCCGCGCGTCCCCTGTAGCTGCACTTCGCTGGCCGCGGGGATCGTGAGCGCTTCGCGGGTACGGGAGGTCCGGGGCGCGGCCGCCCTGTGGTCCCCGTTGGCCCCACAGCGCGTCGGTGGGAGTGCGTCGGCTCCCCGGGGAGGCGCGGAGCGGTGGCGCCACGTAGACAGTGCCGGGGCCTTTCTCGGGGTGACAGCCGGCCGCCCCCGCCTGCCTCGCCTCCCCCGTGGAAGACGTTTTGGTGGAAGGTGGCCGCGTGCGCTTCCGGTGGGCGGGGGTTCGAGAGCAGGTGGGCGCGTAGGCGGGATGCAAGGCGACGCCTCCGGGGTTCCCTTGGAGTCAGGAGCGGTGTGGGGGGCCCCGGGGGGAGCCGAGCAAGAGGAAGGCGCCTTTGGGGGCCTGTGGACGACGCGCGGCGAATGGCTGGTGGCGCCCGGAGCGCGCCGTCGTGGGACCCTGGGCCGACCCCGCGGGGCCGGCTGCCGCGGCCGGGCGGAGGCGCTGCCGGTGTGAGCGGCAGGTTGCTGGCTCCCCGGACGGCGGCTGCCGCAGGCCGGGCAGGGGGAGCTGGAGGGGCCGGAGTCGGAACGGGAAGTGATCTGGCGGGGGTAGGGCGGGAGTTCGGGGCCGACCTGGAGAATTCGAAGGGCGCAGGTGCGCCGGGGGGACTTGGGGGCCGGGCCTGCGTGTCAGGAGGCGGGGTTGGGTGGTGATTTCGTCGTCCTGTTGACTGCGGGCGACCGTGCCCTGTCCTGCGGGAAGGCGGATGTTGACTTTGCCCTCGGTGTAAGCACGGGACTCGGGGAGGGAGGGAGCGGGCGCCCAGGCCCCACGCCTGGCTCCGCTGAGCCCGGCCCCCCGGCGCCTGACCTGCCCGCCCTCCTCCAGTTCCAGGGCCTCCCTCCGCTGCTCTAGTAACCTGGGTCCAGGGCCTCGGTGGTGCTCCTGATGCCCCTCACCCACCCCTGAGGATCCCAGGTGGGCGAGGGACTAGGCAGAGGGATCACAATCTTTCAGCTAATTTATTTTACTCCGTGAGTACTTTGCCCCGGCTTCCCTGTGGCTTAAATGGGGGGACGGGCGGGGGCTCTCTCCATCCCTGGCCACGCACTCCCAGCGCCTGCGTGGTGCACCTGCCTCGTGCTGAAGGCACTGGCTGCGGGATTTGTTGGGTTCTCAAAACTCGGGGTTCGTGTAATACACGAGGACGCAAACGACAGCCCAGTCGCCGTGCAGGCCGCAGGGAGCCGTGTAGGGGGCTCCTGGGTGCCCATCACCCTGGGGCTTTGTCCTGGCGGGAGACGGCACTGCAGGGGGCGGGTGACTAGCCGGCTTGGCGCTCTTCGGGACCTCCCAAATCGTCCCCTAGCGAGGGAGGAGGAGGACCCCCAGCCGGAGAGGGCTGGCGGCTGAGGGGCGGTTGGGCGCTGTACCCCGCAGGATAATCAGCTGAATGTAACAGAGGAACTAACATCTAACGACAAGACGAGAATTCTGAACGTCCAGTCCAGGCTCACAGGTTCGAAACACATTAACTGGAGAGCAGTGCTGAGCAGCAGCTGCCTGTACGTCGAGATCCCCAGCGGCGCTCTGCCCGAGGGGAGCAAGGACAGGTGAGGGCGGGGTGCAGGGGAGCCCAGCCATCGGCATCGGGTGCGGGGAAGTCCAGGCCAGTTCCCGGAATCCTGTCTCCAGGGGACATGGGGCCGGGTCTCGGGATGTGTGTGGCTGTCCTGACTGGGGAGCTATTGGCATGGAGGCGGGGTGGGGGTGATGTCATAGGACACTGCCCAGCCCCGTAGTGCCCAGGAGAGTCGCCAGAGTGACGCGGCCTGGCGGAGGCGGTGCCCATGGGGCCCTGGCCTGGGACCTAACAGGTGCCCTTCAGTCTCGCAGTTCTTCTCGAGTTTGCTGAGGAGCAGCTCCACGCCGACTATGTCTTCATCTGCTTCCACAAGAACCGTGAGGACAGAGGTAGGGGGTCGGGGACAAGGGGAGCCGGGCAGGCCACGGGTCCCCCTCAGTACTGCTGCAGCCGGGAGTGGGGGCAGGTGGGCAGGTGGGAGGCCGTGGCTGACACTCTTCCCCCCCACAGCCGCCTTGCTCCGTACCTTCAGCTTTTTGGGCTTTGAGATTGTGAGACCGGGGCATCCCCTTGTCCCCAAGAGACCCGACGCTTGCTTCATGGCCTACACGTTTGAGAGAGAGCCCCCGGGGGAGTAGTGCAGAGGCCACCGGCGGCCCTCGTGCGCCCCCAGCCGCCTGCCTCTTCCCTGTGCGCTTCGTGGGGGTGGTGTGGCCCCTGCTGTGCTGGGCACATTCGCCCGGCCTGCTCATCTCTTCTGGGTTCGTTCGCATGTTGTAATTGTGCAAATAAACGCTCACTCCAAATTAGCGGCATATTGAAGTTTAATATTGTGTTTGTGATACTGAAGTATTTGCTTTAATTCCAAATAAAAATTTATATTTTACTTTCTTGTTGGTTTAAGATGATTCAGATCACCTTGTGCTTTGAGGACTTTTTCATCTGAACGTCTTAGGTCTGTCTCTAGGATAAAGATAGGCATTAATCGACCCTCCTATTGCTCAAAAATCTGAATAAAAGCGATTACGCCTCCCAGACCTGTGTTGGCTTGGTGGTGTTCAGCGGCCACAGCTCCCTGTCCCAGGGACTGTAGGGCAGGGGTGTGTCCCTGTGTGTGGTGTCCTGACCTTGGGGCTGCAGAGCCAGGCAGAGGCCAAGTGTCTGGGATCTGGTGGGCAGCTCAGCCCCCCCTTCCTAGCACTTCACTTTCTAGCCTGCAGGGTGCCCTGCAGCCAGTTCCCCAAGTGGGCGGCCTGCACCTAGGCCTGCGTCCCCAGTGCCCTTCCTTGGGGGGGCTGGAGGCTAGTGGCCCCCCTGTCCACTCAGTGTCTGTCCTTTGCGTGAGGCCCAAGGAGGTGCCGTGGCATGGCCAGGGTCTGCTGGGACTCGACCTGGCCGGAGTGTGGGGTACGTCCAAGCAAAGTCTGCAGCCTCGCTATGGACCCTGTGCACCAAAGTGGCCCCTGGGGACGGCCTTGTGGTGCCCAGCTGGGGCCGGAGGCAAGTTCACTGGGGTCTGTCTGGGCACGAGGTGGTGGTTGGAAGGGCTGAAGGTAGGTCAGAACTAGGGCCACCCACTAGTCTCTTGGGAGCATGGCTCAGGGTCACATCTAGGCCTAGAAGGCTGGGAAGCAGATGAAAGGGAAGGAAAGTTCCCCCAGAGGTTTGCGTGTTTGGGTGTGGGGTGGGTGAACATTCAGATGCCAGAGTGGTGATGCAGCTGGCCTCACAAGGCTCTGGGGGACAGAGCCAGGACACTCCCAGTCCATGCGGGCTAGGCAGAGGCAGAGAAGGGGCCTTGGAGTCGAGGCATTGAAGGATGAGCAGGAGCCTGAAGCAGAGGCGTGATTCCAGTGGAAGAACAAGTTGGGTGAGGTCTGGGGGCTACTAGAACGAGTCTCCAAGGAAGTGGGAGACTGGGGTGTCCAGGGAATGTGCACAGCCTTTTGGGAAGCCCTGGGAGCCATTAGCACTAGAGAGGGACCTTGGCAAACATGGGGACTGGGAAGATAACCCCAGGACTGTGTGGTCGGTGAGGAGGTGAGTGGGCACGGCTAGCGGCCCCCAGCAAGGGCAGTGAGACCCTTTGGCTCCTATGTCCATATTCCAGAGGCATAAACAGATGCCTCTCTGTCAGGCACCCTGATCAGCCTTGTCTCCCCATTTATTCCATCGTCCTATGCTAAACTGAGTACCTACTGTGTTCAGCCTGGCTCCCGCCCACAGGGGAATTAAGCCCTGTGGGCGAGGGGGCCAGGTGACAGGTGCAGATGAGTGAAAAGCTCCGGGGGATGATACTTGCTCTGGGGGAAGAGGAGGGGAAGCCCAGGGGGGAGCAAGAACCAGCCCAGGACGGGGGAGCTGCCGCCTGCTCAGGTGAGCGCTTGGCAGCGACAGGATTCAGTGACTTGGGAACAGCAGGAAGGTCATGGTGGCAAGTCAGCGAGGTGGCAGGGCCACATCTGGGCAGGTGAGTTCAGACTCCTCTGGGAGGGGCTGTGCTGGGCGGGCTGAGTGTCTGGGGGTCCAGTGAGCCTGCCCTCCCCCCGGGACACTCTGAGCAGGTTTTGGGAAGGGCGTTCCCACTGCGAGCCACTGGCCGTCCTCAGCACAAGGTCATGCTGCAGGGCCGGGAGTGCTCCGAAGCTGGCATTGGCAGGAGACAGTGCCCATCAGACCCCAGCGCTGGAAGGGCACCCTGGCCTCTGCTGGAAGATGGGGGGCTCCACACCTGGGAGGGGGGTGGCCGGCCTGGGATCAGAAAGCCTCAGGAGACACAGGCCTTAGTTCCCAGCCCTGGAAGGGGGGAGGCACTTGCCCTCCTGTACAGACCTTTGGCCTTTGTAACTACCAGAGAAGCGTGGCAGCTGTGGAGGAGCGTGTCCACCCCCCTGCACTCCCCATCGGTCTGGCCTCTCCAAGGGGGGGACACTCCACCCAGGACGTTAGGACCACCGACCGGTACAGGCCTGGGAAGAGGTGCTGCACCTTGGTGAGGCCAGAACAGCGGCTTCGCGAGTGTCAGTCCCACAGCAGCGCCAGGGCATGGCCCAGCGAGGCCTCGGTGGCCTGGGCCAGGTATTCGCAGCACAGCCAGTCCTCGAGGCCGGGCACCTCCCCACCCGCGGCCCGCTCGGCCAGGTGCAGGACCAGCAGTGAGCGGCGTGCCCGCAGCCAGGGCCCCAGCGGTGCTCCCCGGCCGCGCAGCTCCCGCCCAGGCCCCCAGAGCAGAGCCTGTAGAGCGCCGCGCACCCCGGCCGCTGAGGGCCTGGCCTGGGCCAGCCGGGCCGCCAGGCGCCCCAGGCCCGCGGCCAAGGGCGTGGCCAAGGGCAAGGCGGGGCCGAGCAGCACCCGGAGCAGGCGGCCCATCTGCTGCGCGTGGTCGCCTGGGGGGCCCGGGGAGCGCGGGCGGACGCGGCCGAAGTCGGCCAGCAGCAGGCGCTGGGGCCCGTTGGCTGCGCATCCCCGCGGCGCCGCCAGCAGCAGGTTCTCGGGCCGCAGCTCGGCCAGGGCGGCGCCCCGCGCCTCCAGGCGCTCCAGGGCGGTGCTCAGCTGCAGCGCCAGCAGGGCCACGGCCCAGGGGAACGCCGCCGGCTGCTGCTTTGCGCCCTCTTCTGCCAGCCATTGGGTCACAGTGCGCTCGGGTACCTCGGCTGCAAGCACCGTGGGGCCTCTCCAGGGTGCCTCAGGCAGTCCACACTCGGGCACCAGGCCACACAGCCCCTGGACGTTGAAGTGTGGGGGCAGCAAGGCCTGCAGCTCCAGGCCCCACGGGTGGGGCTCCGCAGCTCCTGGCTTGGGCACCTGGGGGGCACAGGGGCTGTCAGACCTGACCATGGGGCCCCCCGGCCATCACAGTCAGGACCCAGGGCTCCACTTGCCCTGAGGCCTTTCTGCCCACCCCCAACCTGCCTCCAGGACAGCTTGCAGGGTGCATGGGCTCCAGGGGCAGGAGTTAAATATAAATTCATATGTTAGTCACCAACATGATTTTAGGGCAGCTATACTGAGGGTAGTATTTAGGGGTCAAACTTGCCAGCCTGGTAAAGGGGCTGGAGATTCCAGCCAAGGTGCCGGAGCTGGGCTGTCCAGTAGAAGCACAACGGAGGCCATGGCATAGGCATAATGAAAATTTACCGGTAGCCACAAGGTGTGAAAAGAAACAGGTGAACATAATTTGCATAATAAATGTTATTTAACCCTGATGTGTCCAAAATGTTCTCCTGCCAGGGGTCATCAACGTGAAAAATATTAGATGTTTTGCATTATTATTTTCCGATAGTAAGTGTTTGAGATCTGCTGTCTATTCCACACTCAGCATATCTCGGTGGGGACCAGCCCCATTTCGAGGGCCCAGAAATCACACATGGCCCTTTCCTGCAGTAGTGGACAGCAGAGCTCTTTCTAGAAGGTTGGGAGGGCTTCAGCTCTGGGAATTACTTTAGAATCATGTTAGCAGGGTATTAAAAATTATAGTTGCTGGGCTGGGACTCTGAGCATGCCTGTTTTAAAAACAGCGTCCCCAGGGCCCTCTGAGATGGAGCCCGGATACAGCTGTCAGCTGGGGAGCGCACAGCCAGCAACTGACCCCCTCCGTGCGCCCATCTGTAAAATGGGCCATAATACACATTCTATCAAGTCCGTGAGGTGCCCCCAGCAACGGCCATGCATCTGACCTTGGCGGTTGTCAATTATTGTTATGATTAAAGTGGTAGCTGTCAGTCAGCTTAACTGGTGAACTCGGTGGCTTTCCAGAGCCAGAATTCTCTGGGAGTGAGGTTCCTGGGCTCCTGAGAGGCGTGGGGTGGGGATTTTTTATGACTCTCAGGTGATTCGAATGCAGGTGGCCCACACTTTGGTGGGGATGTGGTTCCAAGGGCTGATGGTGTTAATTCCCATCATTTGCAAAATAGGCCTAATGCGGGACCTCCAACTAGGGGGAAAATCCAAGTTGGTGGAGCTCACCTTGGCAGCCAAGATGTGCCATGCCTCCCCGTCCACACGCACCACGCGGTAGTAGAGGGCGTCCCCACTCTCCACGCAGGGCTGGCTGTCCAGGAGGCGGAAGCTGTGGCCAGGGCGGCAGGGGCCCGGGTGGCCCCCCAGGAGCCGGGCCTGGAGCCGGGCACGCATGGCACAGAGCCCCTCCAGCTGCCGGGCCTCCAGCGCGGCATGCATGGCCCCTGGAGACTGCAGGTCACGCCAGGAGAGGCCTGTCTCGGTGGTGTCTAGTGAAGTGACAGGCCGCTCTGCAGGGGGGCAGGCTGGCCGGGCCTTGTCGCTGGCCTGTGTCTCGTCCACACTGCAGGACTCCAGAAGGGGCCTCCGGAGCTGGCCTGCTTGAGCGGGGCTGGGGCCGGGGGCCCTGTGGGTGGGCAGGGACCGGGTCCTAGCCAGGGTCTTCTTGGGCAGGGGTGGGGGTAAGGGCTGCGGATCAGTCGAGAGGGACCCAGAAGTCCGGGGGCGGCGGGCCTTGCAGGGTAGCAGGTGGGCCCGGACCTCACCTGTGGGGTCGGGGAGGGGGGACATGCAGGGCATGGGGCCACGGACACCTGCCCCACCCTCACCACCATTTCCCCACCCCTGCCATGGAAATCATGCTCACCCTCATCTGCCCCGTGCCCTGTCCAGTAAAGATGCCACCCAGTTTACACAGGAGGAAGCTGATGCTCAGAGGAGGGAAAGGTCTGTGGCCTGGAAGCGCCCGGCCCAGCATCACGTGGTCCCGTTTCCCTGAGCGACTCTGGGCAGGGTGCCTCTGCCTCTGAAATCTTATTTCCTCATTTTGCAAACTGGTGATCCCAGCTTTTCCTTTTTCAACAGAGTTTTATTACGGACAGGAACAAAGCTGGTATAATCGAGTCATGTCATCATTAGGCAGAGAGTTTCTTAAATGGTGATGAGACTCAACCCTCTGGCTGGAGCCCCCCGGGGCTCCGGCCCCCCGCCCCTGCCAGCGCCCCCTCCCGGCGGCTCACCAAGGTTGCTGTACGTGGGCTGAGTCCGCCAGGTGGGCGTTACGGGCCCCGGGGCCTCTGGGGCTGGCGTGGGGCTGCTCATGCTGCCTGGGGGAGATCAGAGCCAGGGGCATGCATGGCTGGGCACATGCGGGGTGTCCAGGAGTCCTCGATGGCAATGGGAGGGTGCACAGCGGCCTGGGCAAGAGAGGGCAGTGTGGCATGCCTGTGCTCTTTTGCCTGGCTCTGACCCTGCTGTGTGGCCCTGAGAGGCTTTCTCACCCTCTCTGGGCCCTTTCCTCATCAGTGAGACAACAGGGGCAGTGCGAAGGCCCTGTACTTCTGTGATGTGGACAGAATGCCTAGCCCTGAGGGTGGGCATTTGGGGGAACGGCTGACGGTCATGGACCAGTAGATGATGCCGGAGACCCTTGGGATGCATAAAGCTCAGCCCCCTCAAGCCTGCAATTGCCCCAGCTCTGCCCCACCCAGATCACAGGTCACCCTAACACCCCAAAGCTGCCGCTTCTGCCCACTGCCCGCCCCGGAGCCCCTCCCGAGCCCCCCTTCAAGCCCCCTACCTTCAGGAGTGGTGACTGGGGGCCAGGAGGGCATCGGGGACAGACCCCCACTAGCTGCAGCCCCTGCCTCCCAACACTGACCTGTCGCCGGCAGCCAGCCGGAAATGCCGCCCAACTGTCAGACCTCAGGCCGCCGCCTGCATCACTTCCCCTCCTGCCCTCAAAGGTGGGCCGGCATTCCAGGCAGGAGGCACGCAGGGGCCAAGGTGGGGGGTGGGCTCCAAGAGGCTGAGCACAGGGTGGGCAACAGAGGACGGGCTGAGGCCCCAGAGGGCGCTCAGGGCAGGTGGCCGTGGTGGCCTCTGCTACACTGGGGGGCCGGGCATTTTGGGCTCCCCACGTTTGGCGAGGGCAGGGAGCCCCAAACAACTGCTTAGACAGGAACACAGAGAAGGCACTGTTTCCTCTGTGGCTTTCACTTCCCGGAGAACCACTTCCCTTTCTTCAGGACCCTCCGAGGCGCCCCCAGGGCACGGCCCCTGCCGCCTGCCCAGCCCAGCACCCTCTGCTCTGGGCAGGCACTGCTCCTTTGAGCACCTCTGTTCTGACCTGCTGTGTGACATTGGGTAAATCACCATCCTTCTCTGCGTTCCAGCAAATAAAAAAAGTGGCTCCTGCTTGCTGCCTCAGAAGAGCCATGCCAGCTGGATTTTTCTTGAAAAAAAATTGAATCATCTCCCTTGCCAACGCTCACCTCCTGAATGCATTTATTTAGAAAAAACGGTTGCTACATAATTACCATGGATGGAAAATTATCTAGAGTGATGGCAAATCCAGGGAAGACAATGTGAGATTCTAGCTTAAGCACGCGCCTGGGAGGGTGTTTTGAGATTTGAGGCTTGCCCTGCCTGTGCGGGAGGCATGAAGGGCATCCTGGCCCCAAACCCAGTCCCTGCCCGCATGTAACAAAAGAGCTGAGAAACCCCTACATGTCGGACCTGATTTTGTGCTGTATCTCTCCCCACCACCCTATTGTTTCCCTTTGAGACCATGAGCCCAGAGAAGGTAGGGGGTCCCTGCAGGGTCACACAGCAGGTCCAGGCTGGGGTGAAAGTTCTATGGTGTCATTACTGGGTGCTCCAGTGCCAGTGACAGTCCTCACTGGCCCTCACCTGCCCAAGCAATATTTAAAACAAAAATATCTAATGGCGTATTCTGGCCATGGCTGGCCGGCCGTTTTTGTAAATAAAGTTTTATTGGAATCAGGGCTAGGATTCGGGTATGGAGAGTGAGGCAGGGTCATGCCAGGGCAGATCAGATCCTGTCTTTATTTAAAAGGTTGGCATTTTGTTCCTCATGGATTTGAGGCACAAATTAATTGCGTTTATGGAATGTTGATCTCTATGACTAAGTTCTGGGCACTTTCTTACGTTTTGTACCCAATTTGAGTGCCTCTCTCACCCCGTCTTGGTCCCAGCCCTGCAGAGGCAGAGATTTGGCTAAGACTGTGGGGTGGGGAGGCAGGCAGAGGGGCCACACTGGACACGGGGTGGCACCTCTGGGGACTTTTCCATGCAGGACCGGACAGGGTGGTGGGCAGCTGGCACACGGAAAAGGAGAGAAGAGGGACCAGCTGACACCTGCCAAGCACCCTTGGTGTTTGTGGTAGGCAGTCACAGCCCCTGAGCAGTAACTGGCAGGTAGGAATGGGGAGGGGGAGAGAATTTGCACACCTTGGGGGTCAGTCACCAGGAGAGGGCCCTGGCTGGACGGACCTGGGAGAGGACAGGAGATCCGCAGGAAGTGTGTCTGCACCAGGGCCTGAGGCGAGTACGCGGAGGTCCATGCGGCAGGGACCCCACGCACCCTCCTAGCCCCACCTGGTGGGGGATCAGGGCAGGTATGTTCACGGTGCCTGTGGGCCCAGAATGTGCGGATGGCAGGCCCCTCGTGCTGTGTTTTGGGGGAACCCCCGCACCCCTCTTAGGGGCCCCTCTTTGGGTTTCTGGGTCCCTCATCAGCTGGGCCTCAGCCACCCAAGGCAGGACCCCTCAGCTGTACCCAAAATAAGACAGGAATCAGGAATTCTGATCTTATACCTGGTGTGAACCAGGGGTTCGGCAGCCAGGAAGAAGAGGGGCATAAACCCCAAGGGACCCGGGTGGTTGGTGCGAGGCTGCCCTTGGCCATGGCGGCCTCTGACCACTCTGACCTGGTCCACCCTCTTCTGGAAAAAGCACAGGCCTTCAGGGGCCAGCGGGGTTTAAGCTCTGACGTCAGGCTCCATGACTCAGTTTCCCTGCCCCTCGGTGGGGGTTGGCATGAGGATAAAGCCCTTTATTAAAAGCTGCCTGCTTCTCCGGAGACAGGGAGGCTGATGGGACCCCCGCAGAAGAGGACAGCTCCCCCTGCCCAAAGGAAAAAGCTGCCAGGAGACATCGCAGGGGGCATGGGGCCTGCGCCTCGTCTGCCTTTCTCCCTGCCGTCAGCTCTGCCCACCGTCTGACTTGGGGCAGGAGTTTCTCTGACAGCCCAGCTCTTGCAGGTGCCCCTCAGACCGCACCCCTCCCTAGCTGGGGCCTCTGGGCAGACGGCCTCCATCCCACCTCCGTTTGTCCGTCTGTACAATGGGAGGCTGCCGGCTGCCATCAGCGTGAAGGTGGTTGACGCAGGCAGTGAGGGAAGAGTGTGGACGCTCCTGAAGCCCCGCCTCTGACACCGTCACCATGGCTGTCTTGGCCCGGCAAAGGCTTTGTGACTCTGGGTCAGCTTAGGGGCCAGAGCCGGGCAGCACCCCCTAAGCACCCTGCAGCCTTTACTTTCTGCCCCCACTCCTCCCATGAAGCTTTTTAAAAACCCTAAAGTTTGTTATTAAATTGGCTTCATTTTTATTGGGTTCCAACCAAATACAGCAGGCTGGAGCTTGGGGGGTCTTGGTTCATTTGGGACTGGGATTGGGCAGAGGGCCTGGGGATCCCAATATGCCGACGTTCTGTGAGACCTGATGCTGCTGGTACGCACCCTCTCCGGTCTTCGATGACGCTAAAGGCACTTGGATGTCATTTTGAGGGGCCCTCAGGGTTGCCACGGACAACCAAGGCCAGGAGGATGCTAAGAGGCAAAGCTAGTGGGTTCTGCCTGACCTGGGTGGAGTTTGAGGTTGCAGGACACCCTTTTCTGCCCTCATGACCCATGACGAGTGGGGCTTGGGTGTGGTCTCCACCCTGCTGGCCTTGGTCACAACCTGCCGTGTGGCCCTGCTGGCCCATCTGCGCACCACTGGGGCAGGACCAGGACCTTCCAGGGAGAATGGCCACATTCCCTCCAGAGTTCTGAATCCTTTGCTCAAAACCTGTAAGGTTAACCCGGCTTTCTCTCCTGCTCAGCTCAGAAAGGCCTTGAGGGATCCAGGCTCTGGACCGACCATCAAGCCCATCCGTGGGCCTGTCTTCTATATAGGCAGCAACCTACTTGACCCTCAGACCCATTTTACAGATGAAGATACCAAAGGTCCTAATGGTCCTCAGTCACCAGGAATTACACAGCTGGGCAGGAACAGAGCTAGTTTTGAGCCTTCTTACAAGGTCCTTGAGAATACTGTCCTGACCTCCTCATTGGTGGCCAAGTTCCTTATGGCCTAGGCCCAGCCCCATGTTTCCTGCGCCCCTTCCTCCCAGTGGTGCCCTGTCATCCGGCCGAGGTGGAGGGTAGGGCAATAATCAGGCTGGGGAAGGCAGAGTCAGGGCCAGTTCCTCTCTGGTGTCTGCGTATTTCTGCAACAGCTCCTGCTTGGTCACCTCCGGTGACAGAAAACTCACTACCCGTAGGGCATGGCACAGTGACCTTGGGGAAACTTCCTTATCCTGAGCTGCAGTCTGCCTGTGACCCCCGGCTCTTTGGCCCTAGATCTGCCCCAAAGATGCAGAGGCCAAGGTGCCCTGTCACCTCCCAAAGACCCAGACCCAGGCCTCCTTATAGCCTGAACCCCTGTCCTGAACTTGCTCCCCACTGCTGCCTCTTCAGTGCAAATAACAGAGACCCCGACAACCTCCCACAAACTGGATCTAGTTCTCCATGTGCACAACGGGTCACGGGGCTGGGCATGTGGGGCCTGCACTAGGAACGTGTGGGACGCTGGCTCAGGAATGGGGTTGACTCAGGATCAAAGGTCACTCCAGCTGGCTGGCTACAGGAAGACACCCCAAAAGCCGTGATCTTGGAGCCAGTAAGCAAAGCGGCTGCTCTGACGGGGGTAGAAGAAGCTGGGGAAATGGCTTCTCCTCGCGGGCAGCCTGTCCTGAGGGCCAGCGGGTCCTGGTGGGATGCAGTCTGGGGGCAAGGGTGTGGGCTAGCATGTGGGGAACCTCACCACATGCTGGGCCCCCTCAGGGTGAACCTGATCCTCTGATAAAGACGGTAGCCCAGCCCCTGAGGTCCCCCCCCAGAAATGGCCATTGAGCAGGAGCTGCGTGTGAGCTCAGTGCTCCAGACGTGAGCTGAGTGTGGGCTGCGTGTGATTTATGCATGTCCCGAGTGTGAGCCGTGTGTGACTCAGGCCTGAACTGCTTGTCCCAAGTGTGAGCTTTGCCCTGCGTACCCCTGGTGAGCTCCGGCACCTGCTTAGTGTCACCTGGGTGTGAGGCTTGGGGCGTCCAGGTGCGAACAGCACCCACTTTCCTGTGCTCTGCCCTGGCGGCTGGACTGCCCTCAGTGGGTCCTAGGTGTAGACCACCTCCCCCAGGTGGGGGCTGTGTCAGGCGGGGGAGCAGCTGTGGGCTTCCTGGGTGTGCTGAGGACCCTGGGGTCTCTGAGACCACCCAGATCAGCTGCCGCACCAGGGGCAGGAAGACAGGGTGAAACCTTTAGAAAACGCTTGAGAAACTGCAAAAGGTGCATCCTGATGAAAAAACAGTCCTGTGGCTGGGTCTCTACAAAAAAAGGGGAAGTCCTGCCAGGAGCTGGCCTGCAGCCACCCCCCCTGGAAATGCACAGGTGGTCACCAGAGGGCCGGTGAGGGGCCGGCGCGGGGAAACGCGGTCCTCCCGGGCGCTCAGATCATCTTCATGTTGAACTTGCGAGAGCCGCCCTGGCCGGCCGCTGCAGCCGGGCCGTCCACCTTGCGGAAGGAATACTCCACCGAGAAGCTGTTCTTGTGCTGCCCGCGGCCGCGGCTCCACACGAAGAGCAGCAGGAAGCAGAAGAGGACGACGCCCAGGAAGGTGATGCAGCCCATGGCAGTGGACACCAGGATGGCGGTGAGGTCCAGCGGGAAGCGGGCGGCCGCCTGCGTCTCGTTGCGGGCCTCGCCCGGGGTCCGGTTGGCCACCGGCTCGGGCTGCACCGTCAGCGTGGCGAAGTAGCTGTCGTTGCCGCCCGCGTTGCTGGCCACGCACGTGTACGTGCCGCTGTCCTGCGGCCGCGCCTCCCGGATCTCCAGGGTGCCCCCGGGCAGCACGCGCGCGCGCCCCGCGTTGGCGACGGTCACCGCGCGGTGCCGCGGCGTCACCCAGGCCACGGTGGGCGCCGGCTCGCCCTCGGCGCGGCACTGGAAGCGCACGTCCTCGCCCGCAGCGGCCGTGACGCGCTGCAGCCGCCGCTCGCGGATCTTGGGCTTGCGGCACACGAAGTACTCGAAGAGCGCCGAGTCGGGCAGGTGGCGCAGCGCGTCGCCGCGGACCTCGGCCGGGGTGGCGCAGGCGGGCAGCCGCCCGTCGAAGTTGAGGGTCTTGCGGCGCTGCACGATCCACAGCAGGCGACAGTCGCAGGCCAGCGGGTTGCCGTCCACGCGCAGCGTCTCCAGCGTGTTGACCGAGTGGAAGGTGCTCTCCTCCAGCGTGGAGAGCAGGTTGTCCGAGAGGTTGAGCAGGCGGATCTGCCGCAGCCCCAGGAAGGCCTGCGGCTCCACCACCGCCAGGAGCGCGCCGGCCAGGTGCAGCTCGCGCAGGCGCACCAGGTCGCGGAAGGACCCGCGCGGCACCGTGCGGATGGGGTTGTGGGACAGGTTGAGGCAGGTGAGGTGCGCCTGGTGGCGCAGCGCCGCGGCCGGCACGGCGGAGATGTTGGTGTGCGTGACGGACAGCGAGGTCAGGTTGAGCCCCTGCAGGCTGCCGGCGGCCACCTCCTCCAGCAGCGGCCAGTGGTCGATCTCCAGGTGCAGCAGCGCGGGCAGCCTGCGGAAGTTCTGCTCCTCCAGGGCGGCGATGGGCAGGTGCCGCAGGCGCAGCGCGCCCAGGCCGCGCAGGTGGCCCAGCGCCTCGCCCGACAGCGCCGTGAGGTTGCAGCGCTCCAGGGTCAGCTCCTCCAGCGCCAGCAGCCCCGCGAAGGCCCGGCGCGAGACGAACACCAGGTCGTTGTCGCCCACCTCGAGCCGGCGCAGGCCGCGCAGGTCCTGGAAGGTGTAGTCCAGCAGGATGACCAGCTTGTTCTCGCTCAGGTCCAGCAGCGTGAGGTTGTCCAGGCGCGTGAAGACCCCGGGCGGGAGCAGCTGGAGCAGGTTGCCGCGCAGGCGCAGGACGCGCAGGCGCGGCAGGTCGGCGAAGGCGCCCGGCTCCACGTGCGCGATCGCGTTCTCGCTCAGGTCCAGCTCCTCCAGCCGCGGCAGGGCCGCCAGGTCGCCCGGGTTCAGGCAACGGATGCGGTTGTGGCTGAGCTCCAGCAGGCGCGTCTCGGCCGGGATGCCGTCGGGGACGGCGGTCAGGCGGCGGCGCGCACAAGCCACTGCGCGTGTGGTCGCGGTGCACTCGCAGCGGGCCGGGCAGCCCCCCGCCGGGGGCGGGGCCGTGGGCAGGAGCAGGAGCTGCAGGCTCAGGACGCGCAGCCAGCAGGTCATGGTGGGCAGCCTGGGCCTAGGGCCGCGCCACCATCCTCGTGGGCACCTGTGGGCGGGGCACCGTTAGCACGGGCGACCTCCCCCCCTGCCCCAAGCAGTGCACCCAGGAAGTATTTATCTGCCGTTTATCCGCTCCTGGGGTCCCCGCAAGGGAACTGAACACACAAGTCCATATAAAAGCTGCTCAAGTGCGTGTCCACGGCAGCAGGGGTCAGCCAGCCAAAAAGCGGAAACAGGGTAAATGCCCGTAAGTGGGTGCATGGATGGGTACACACCGTCCATCCACACGGGCAGCATCACACAGCCACGAAGAATGAGGCCCTGACACGCGCTACGGGGGGACGGGCCCTGAACACGGTGCTTAGTGAGATGCCAGACACACAGGTCACACGGCGTGGCCGCATTCCCGTGACACGTCCACAGCAGGTGGATCCACAGAAGAACGTGGGCTCGTGGGCGCCGGGGGCTGGAGAGGGTGGGGACTGGGCTTCTTTTGGGGGGATGGAATATTCTGGAATTAGAGGTGATGGTGGTATAACCATCCACCCTGCTGGCCTTGGTCACAGCCTGCCGTGTGGCCCTGCTGGCCCATCTGCGCACCACTGGGGCAGGACCAGGACCTTCCAGGGAGAATGGCCACATTCCCTCCAGAGTTCTGAATCCTTTGCTCAAAACCTGTAAGGTTAACCCGGCTTTCTCTCCTGCTCAGCTCAGAAAGGCCTTGAGGGATCCAGGCTCTGGACTGACCATCAAGCCCATCCGTGGGCCTGTCTTCTATATAGGCAGCAACCTACTTGACCCTCAGACCCATTTTACAGATGAAGATACCAAAGGTCCTAATGGTCCTCAGTCACCAGGAATTACACAGCTGGGCAGGAACAGAGCTAGTTTTGAGCCTTCTTACAAGGTCCTTGAGAATACTGTCCTGACCTCCTCATTGGTGGCCAAGTTCCTTATGGCCTAGGCCCAGCCCCATGTTTCCTGCGCCCCTTCCTCCCAGTGGTGCCCTGTCATCCGGCCGAGGTGGAGGGTAGGGCAATAATCAGGCTGGGGAAGGCAGAGTCAGGGCCAGTTCCTCTCTGGTGTCTGCGTATTTCTGCAACAGCTCCTGCTTGGTCACCTCCGGTGACAGAAAACTCACTACCCGTAGGGCATGGCACAGTGACCTTGGGGAAACTTCCTTATCCTGAGCTGCAGTCTGCCTGTGACCCCCGGCTCTTTGGCCCTAGATCTGCCCCAAAGATGCAGAGGCCAAGGTGCCCTGTCACCTCCCAAAGACCCAGACCCAGGCCTCCTTATAGCCTGAACCCCTGTCCTGAACTTGCTCCCCACTGCTGCCTCTTCAGTGCAAATAACAGAGACCCCGACAACCTCCCACAAACTGGATCTAGTTCTCCATGTGCACAACGGGTCACGGGGCTGGGCATGTGGGGCCTGCACTAGGAACGTGTGGGACGCTGGCTCAGGAATGGGGTTGACTCAGGATCAAAGGTCACTCCAGCTGGCTGGCTACAGGAAGACACCCCAAAAGCCGTGATCTTGGAGCCAGTAAGCAAAGCGGCTGCTCTGACGGGGGTAGAAGAAGCTGGGGAAATGGCTTCTCCTCGCGGGCAGCCTGTCCTGAGGGCCAGCGGGTCCTGGTGGGATGCAGTCTGGGGGCAAGGGTGTGGGCTAGCATGTGGGGAACCTCACCACATGCTGGGCCCCCTCAGGGTGAACCTGATCCTCTGATAAAGACGGTAGCCCAGCCCCTGAGGTCCCCCCCCAGAAATGGCCATTGAGCAGGAGCTGCGTGTGAGCTCAGTGCTCCAGACGTGAGCTGAGTGTGGGCTGCGTGTGATTTATGCATGTCCCGAGTGTGAGCCGTGTGTGACTCAGGCCTGAACTGCTTGTCCCAAGTGTGAGCTTTGCCCTGCGTACCCCTGGTGAGCTCCGGCACCTGCTTAGTGTCACCTGGGTGTGAGGCTTGGGGCGTCCAGGTGCGAACAGCACCCACTTTCCTGTGCTCTGCCCTGGCGGCTGGACTGCCCTCAGTGGGTCCTAGGTGTAGACCACCTCCCCCAGGTGGGGGCTGTGTCAGGCGGGGGAGCAGCTGTGGGCTTCCTGGGTGTGCTGAGGACCCTGGGGTCTCTGAGACCACCCAGATCAGCTGCCGCACCAGGGGCAGGAAGACAGGGTGAAACCTTTAGAAAACGCTTGAGAAACTGCAAAAGGTGCATCCTGATGAAAAAACAGTCCTGTGGCTGGGTCTCTACAAAAAAAGGGGAAGTCCTGCCAGGAGCTGGCCTGCAGCCACCCCCCCTGGAAATGCACAGGTGGTCACCAGAGGGCCGGTGAGGGGCCGGCGCGGGGAAACGCGGTCCTCCCGGGCGCTCAGATCATCTTCATGTTGAACTTGCGAGAGCCGCCCTGGCCGGCCGCTGCAGCCGGGCCGTCCACCTTGCGGAAGGAATACTCCACCGAGAAGCTGTTCTTGTGCTGCCCGCGGCCGCGGCTCCACACGAAGAGCAGCAGGAAGCAGAAGAGGACGACGCCCAGGAAGGTGATGCAGCCCATGGCAGTGGACACCAGGATGGCGGTGAGGTCCAGCGGGAAGCGGGCGGCCGCCTGCGTCTCGTTGCGGGCCTCGCCCGGGGTCCGGTTGGCCACCGGCTCGGGCTGCACCGTCAGCGTGGCGAAGTAGCTGTCGTTGCCGCCCGCGTTGCTGGCCACGCACGTGTACGTGCCGCTGTCCTGCGGCCGCGCCTCCCGGATCTCCAGGGTGCCCCCGGGCAGCACGCGCGCGCGCCCCGCGTTGGCGACGGTCACCGCGCGGTGCCGCGGCGTCACCCAGGCCACGGTGGGCGCCGGCTCGCCCTCGGCGCGGCACTGGAAGCGCACGTCCTCGCCCGCAGCGGCCGTGACGCGCTGCAGCCGCCGCTCGCGGATCTTGGGCTTGCGGCACACGAAGTACTCGAAGAGCGCCGAGTCGGGCAGGTGGCGCAGCGCGTCGCCGCGGACCTCGGCCGGGGTGGCGCAGGCGGGCAGCCGCCCGTCGAAGTTGAGGGTCTTGCGGCGCTGCACGATCCACAGCAGGCGACAGTCGCAGGCCAGCGGGTTGCCGTCCACGCGCAGCGTCTCCAGCGTGTTGACCGAGTGGAAGGTGCTCTCCTCCAGCGTGGAGAGCAGGTTGTCCGAGAGGTTGAGCAGGCGGATCTGCCGCAGCCCCAGGAAGGCCTGCGGCTCCACCACCGCCAGGAGCGCGCCGGCCAGGTGCAGCTCGCGCAGGCGCACCAGGTCGCGGAAGGACCCGCGCGGCACCGTGCGGATGGGGTTGTGGGACAGGTTGAGGCAGGTGAGGTGCGCCTGGTGGCGCAGCGCCGCGGCCGGCACGGCGGAGATGTTGGTGTGCGTGACGGACAGCGAGGTCAGGTTGAGCCCCTGCAGGCTGCCGGCGGCCACCTCCTCCAGCAGCGGCCAGTGGTCGATCTCCAGGTGCAGCAGCGCGGGCAGCCTGCGGAAGTTCTGCTCCTCCAGGGCGGCGATGGGCAGGTGCCGCAGGCGCAGCGCGCCCAGGCCGCGCAGGTGGCCCAGCGCCTCGCCCGACAGCGCCGTGAGGTTGCAGCGCTCCAGGGTCAGCTCCTCCAGCGCCAGCAGCCCCGCGAAGGCCCGGCGCGAGACGAACACCAGGTCGTTGTCGCCCACCTCGAGCCGGCGCAGGCCGCGCAGGTCCTGGAAGGTGTAGTCCAGCAGGATGACCAGCTTGTTCTCGCTCAGGTCCAGCAGCGTGAGGTTGTCCAGGCGCGTGAAGACCCCGGGCGGGAGCAGCTGGAGCAGGTTGCCGCGCAGGCGCAGGACGCGCAGGCGCGGCAGGTCGGCGAAGGCGCCCGGCTCCACGTGCGCGATCGCGTTCTCGCTCAGGTCCAGCTCCTCCAGCCGCGGCAGGGCCGCCAGGTCGCCCGGGTTCAGGCAACGGATGCGGTTGTGGCTGAGCTCCAGCAGGCGCGTCTCGGCCGGGATGCCGTCGGGGACGGCGGTCAGGCGGCGGCGCGCACAAGCCACTGCGCGTGTGGTCGCGGTGCACTCGCAGCGGGCCGGGCAGCCCCCCGCCGGGGGCGGGGCCGTGGGCAGGAGCAGGAGCTGCAGGCTCAGGACGCGCAGCCAGCAGGTCATGGTGGGCAGCCTGGGCCTAGGGCCGCGCCACCATCCTCGTGGGCACCTGTGGGCGGGGCACCGTTAGCACGGGCGACCTCCCCCCCTGCCCCAAGCAGTGCACCCAGGAAGTATTTATCTGCCGTTTATCCGCTCCTGGGGTCCCCGCAAGGGAACTGAACACACAAGTCCATATAAAAGCTGCTCAAGTGCGTGTCCACGGCAGCAGGGGTCAGCCAGCCAAAAAGCGGAAACAGGGTAAATGCCCGTAAGTGGGTGCATGGATGGGTACACACCGTCCATCCACACGGGCAGCATCACACAGCCACGAAGAATGAGGCCCTGACACGCGCTACGGGGGGACGGGCCCTGAACACGGTGCTTAGTGAGATGCCAGACACACAGGTCACACGGCGTGGCCGCATTCCCGTGACACGTCCACAGCAGGTGGATCCACAGAAGAACGTGGGCTCGTGGGCGCCGGGGGCTGGAGAGGGTGGGGACTGGGCTTCTTTTGGGGGGATGGAATATTCTGGAATTAGAGGTGATGGTGGTATAACCTTGTAAATATACTAAAACCCACTGAATTGTACACTCTAAAAGGGCGAATGTTATCTCGATTTTAAAAATGGCAAAAGATGGCATTTATTGACTTGAGAAGAACCATACACATATAATATAAACATTTCTGGTACCAAGTCCCTACTTACTGAGAGTCTACTGCCCACCAGGCTCTGCGTACATGGAGGAACAGGGTAGATGGAGCTCTGCCCTCCCGGGGCTCATGTCTGCTGAGTGGGGGCACAGGTGGTCTAAATGTGCCCCCTCCCCACAGAGATCTAGCCAGGTCCACTATGCATCGCGCTCCCCACGACAACCCTGTCACCCTGTTAATGCGCCTGCACAGGTCCAGCCCCCTGGGAAACTGTACTGTATCTTAAAACCCTGTCCATTGTCTCCTCCAGATGCACTGTGAGGTCTTCAGGGTCTTTGTCTCCGGCACGTTCCCTTTAACGGTGCCTGAGACCTGGTTGGTGAACATCAATGTGTTCAATCAGCACAGGCAACAAGAACAGGGACGCAAGGTGCAGGGTGCTGGCGGGAGGCAGTGTGGGTTATCATCAGGGTTATGGGGGCCGGTTCAGGGTGGCTCCAGACCAGGAAAGGTGCCATTTTGAGCTGAGACCCTGTAGTGGATCAAATAGTGTCCCCTAAGATGCTATGCTCAAGTCATGAGGGAGATTTGGGGACACACACACACACACACACACACACACACACATGAGTGAGGCCATGCAGAGATGGAGCCAAAGATTGCTGAGAGCCTCCAGAAGCTAGAAGAGGCAGGAAGGACCCTCCCTTGGAGGCTCTGGAGGGAGCGTGGCTCTGAGACACCTTGATCTCAGACTTCTGACCTCCAGAACAGACAGAGAATACATTTCTGTCTTTTGTATCCTTGAGGAAATCTCATACCCTGGAGCAGAATGGCATGAACAAATAGGTTTGAAACAGTAAAAAAACTGGAACTAACCTATATGTCCATCAATAGGGGATCAGTTGAATAAACTGGTCTGTGCCTGTTGTGGGATCAAGGATGTTCATATGTATCAATAGAGAAAGACAGCTAAGATCTAGTCATATGGAGGAAGATGGAACTAACCTAAGTGTCCATCAATAGGGGATCAAATACGCCATAATCCATGGTTATTGTGGAATTCTGGGAGATCTGAATGTGTCCACAAGAAAAGACAACCGAGATACAGTTAGATAGGGGTGGGAGGGTGGAGGAATCAAGGTTGCCAAACAATTACAGACAGCACAATCCTATTGGTGATGAAATAAAATGAAATGCTAAGTAAATTCTAGATTTGGTCACACATGCCTAAAAAGTGCCTGGAAAATTCACACACCACGCGGAACAGCACAGTGAGTGGTGGGAAGGGAGTTACCGTAGCTGAGAATGTGGTCACACCACAAGGAAACTGAAGGAATCCTGGTCTCCACGATGTCACCCCGCTCAGCTCCCTGACCCCAGCTGGGGAGCTCGTAGGGAGGCTGCAGGCAGAGGTCAGAGCCAGCGGTCGTTCCCTCCCACGACCATTATCCTTAATCCCAACCTGGCATTTCAGGGAACATAATCCTTCCCTGAGGCAAACTCCCTTCTGAGGCCGTTTTTCCAGGTCATTCTCTCCCGTGTGGCTTCCCTGCACCACATGGAGAGGCTGTGTCCCAGGAGGAGGCAGGGGAGCCAGAACAGAGTTCAGCCTGTTCAGCCCCAGGTCACTCCCAGCTGCCTGTCCTGGTGGTGCCACCCCTGTGGTCAAGGAGTGACTGTCACCCCAGCCAGGAATAGGGCACAGGTCTCAGGAGGCTGCTCTGGCAGAGCTGGGACCACCAGGCTCTGCCCCAAGGGAGAAATGGGTGTATTGTTCAGCCCCCAAACACAGACTCCCTGTGGGGACAGAGATGTAGGTTTGTTTACGGTTTGTTCTGCAGGAGAGAATTTCACACCCCTAGAATAAAACACAAAGTTCTCCATGAGGCCCCCCTTCCCTCGTCTCCACCACTCACTCTGCTCCAGCCACACCAGCCTCCTCACCATTCCTGCAGCACACCAGGCCCCGTCCTGCCCCAGGACCTTTGCAGGTACTGTGCTCAATACCTGAGACAACTTCTGCGAGCACGGCTCTCTCCCTGACTTTATTTGGGTCTCACCCCCAATGTCCCTAGTTACTCTCTGTACTAAAGTCCCCACCTAGCTTCTCTGAAATGCCATTTAAACCCTGCTTCATGCTGAGATCTCTTCTGGACTGTGGACTGCATCATTATTGTGGGGCAGACGTCTGTAGACCCCACTCTGGTGCAGCCCTGAGCTAAGCATCCAACTTGGATTGTCCCATTTAGTTCCCACAACAGCCTCATGGTGGAGGGATCCCCACTGTCCCTCCCACTTTACAGAGGAGAACGCTGAGGCTCAAAGCAGCTTCAGTGACCTGCTCAGGTTCACAGAGCACAGCAGGGGCAGTGGGAGAGGGTCCCGGGGTGAGGCCAGCAGCTCATCCAGCCAGAATTTACAACACAATTGTTTTTGCTGGACGTGTTTTTATCGTTACCTCTGTAGACCCTGTAAGGTAGGTTTCCCCTCATTCACCAATTCCACCTGTCAGTCAGTCAACAAACATTTACTGGGTGTCGAGCATTTTCTAGCTGCAGGGGACACAGAGCGCTTAAGACAAGAGCTGGCTTTCTTGGCTTTCTTAACAAGGTAAATAAATACACCCTCTCCTGTCTGGGTGGCAGAAGTGAAGGAGGTGAGACGGACAGCTAGGCAGATGGCGGCAGGAAGGGCAGCCCGGGGGCCGGGGTGGGTGCACAGCAGAGGCAAATGCCAGGAGGTGGGACCGGGCAGCACAGGCCAGGAACCCAGGGCGGGCGCTGGGTCAGAAAGTTGAAGAGGGACTTTTCATAATGTTAAGTTGTTTAAGTGGGAAAGAGTTTTTTTTAAAATGGTTGCCATAACCCTTTAGTAGAATTGGTGCCTCATATCCAAAATTACCGAGTATCATAATTCTTCCAAGTGGTAAAGACACCTCAAGACAAATGCTGGGCATAGAAGCCACAGGGCATAAATCTGCAAAGAAGTAAAAAGCTAACCTTTTCAAACAATATGGCTTCTCTCTCACTTACCAACTTTACATCTCCCTGTATGGCCCCGGAAGATGACTGGTTAGCCAGAGACGGGTAAGATTCCTCAAGGGAGGAACAACCTAAGACAGGCACAGTCGCAGGGGGGCCATCAGGTGAGAAACTGGGGATCAACAGAGGGGAGGCTTAGAACCTCACCCCCCCTGCTTTGAGAGAAATCTTCTGCATCCGTGGATGTTTTATTGCCCTTGTCTAGCTCGGATTAGCACATAGTCTACAGGCACACACCTGATCATCTACAATTGCCCTCTTACAGCACTAAACTATGTTGTCTACCTTTATCTTGCATCTACCTACCACTTCAGCATTTTATTAAAAATAATAATAATAATAATAATAAGGGAGAAATGTGGGATTCACATATAAATCAAGTATAAAAACCAAACGAAAAAAAAATGGTTGCCATAGAACATGGATAAGGCCACATTCAGGAGGGGAATCCTCAAATGACAAAAGGTCAGGGGCGGCAGGGCCCAGCTACCATGATTTGGTCACAGAAAGGCTGGCAGAGACTGCAGTGCCCATGTGCTGTGTGACGTCTGCCAGAAACATGCCCTCTCTGGGCATCCCTGCCAAAGGGAAGGTGGGCCCTGGGGTGTCCCCAAGCTCTCCCACTATAATTGCTCCCCACTTGAGGTCAGCAGGGCTACCGTGTCCAGCAGGGCCACTCATGCTGTGACCCAGTTTGTCAGCTCTCATCACCCCTCAGGCCCGGCCTTGTCATCTCCTCTGCGGGGCTGGGGGCGGGGGAAGTGGCCTTGAGGCCTGCCGCTGAGGTGCGGAGTGCCCTTAGGTGACAAGGGGCTGGGCACCCCAAGCAAGTGCCGGACCCTCTCTGGGCCTGTCTCCCTCGCTGGAAGCCTGGACCAGGACCCCCATGCCCGAGTAGGCTGGGGGTCCGGATTCCAGTCCTGTCTCCGCAAGGCTATGTTGTGGAGCACTGGGCTGGGCCCGATTCCCCAAAGGAGGCCCGAGGGTCAGTGACACAGCTGGCTGGGGAAGGGCAGACCCGGAGGGGGGCACAGTGCGGGCACAGCTGGGCGGTAAGGCAGCTGAGGCTGCGGCCTTGCGGCGAATGACACACCCTAGGGCCATCTGGTCCCTGCTCTTTCCCTGCAGGGACCTGCCGCCCACCTGGGGCCTCTCCTCCTTCCTCCCAGGACTAAACACATTGTCACTGATGACTCCTGATTTTGTGTCCCAACCACATCTCCCCTGAGCCCCAGTCCAGGGGCCCAAGGGTCCCCATGCCCCAACCTCACCCCCGGCTCTCCCAGGGTCAGTGGGACCCCCATCCTCCATGCAACCCTGGCTTCTGCCCACTCTGCAGGCCCAGGAGCCACCCAGCGGGGACTGAGGCCAGAGATGCAGCTCCCTCTTGCCAGGCACAGAAAGCCCCGGGCCAGTAAGCCTGTGGCCGCGCAGACAAGCCCTGGGACCGGCCTGTGCCTGCTTCTCCTGGTCACGGCCGGGCATCCCCTTCTTGGGCTGAGGGTGCCTCAGGCCTGGGGTTGGCCCCCCACTGACCACAGAGGCCCTGCTGTGCAGATACAACTGGCCTGTGTGGATCAAAGGCTTCCTGCGCTGAGTGTGGTAGACACCCCACGCCCCTCACCCCTACTTCTCCCTTTCCCTGTCGGGACGCTGGCGTGCCAGGCCCCGGGGACACTGGGCCTCATGGGGCATTTTCCCCATTTCACGTGCTCAAGTCGGTGCCTTTTAGGGCATCCACAGAGCTGCAACCCCTCATCTCTAGTTTCAGAACATTCCATCACCGAAAACGAAAAGAAACCCCGTGCCCATGAGCAGCCACTCCCCACCCCTCCCCTGCCGCCGATAACCACGAGCCCACGTCTTGTGTGGATCTGCCTGTCGTGGGGTCACACCACGTGGCCTTCTGCCTGTGGCGTCTCGCTGGGCCCCGTGTTAGGGAGACCAGCGGACTAGACTCGCCCAGACATGAAGCCGCTCATGTGGGTAGCGGGGTTCCGCCACGGTCTGATGCTCTGTCCCGGGTGGCCAGAGGGGCCTGTTGGGGTGAGACCCGCGTGGTGGGTGGGGGTCAGCTGGACGGGAATCTGGGAAACAGTGTTCTGGGTGGAGGGACCCGTGGGGCTAAGGCCCCGGCGTGGGAATGTCTGGTGGTCTGAGGGGCAGGAAGAGGGGCCAGTGGCCTGGTGTGTGTCTGAGGTCGGGAGGGGAGCTGGGTCGGCAGGGGAGGAAGCACACAGGGCTTGTGACCCCTGGGGGTGCTCGGACTTGATCCTGAGGGTGATGCGGAGCCATGGGGGGTTGTGAACAAGAGCAGGACATGTCTGACATGCAGTCTGGACTGTCCTGTTCTGTGTGCCCAGCCCCATCACCCTCCCTCCCCTGAGGCTCAAACGTCTCTCACCGTTGGAGACCCCCTAACTCCTCTCTCCGCCCCAACGCGCACAGAGCTGTTCAGAGGCCCTGGTGACATCCAGCGAATGTGGCAGAGGGTCAGCACGACTCCAGAGCCAGGCCAGGAACGTCTGGGTCCCCACTGACACCCGTGCCTGACCACCTTGGGGAAAGACCTTTAATGCCCTGAGCCAGCCCTGCCCGCCTGGAATTAGCCTGTGAAACCCAAGTCGGACTTCTGACCCCAGAACTGTGAGAGCATCATCTGCACAGTTTGTGGGGATTTGTTACAGTGACCCTAGGAGACTTGTGCAGGGTCTGCCGTTCTGAACAGGGGGTGCTGAGGCCTCCGTGGGGCTGGGAACCTGCCGCCCACGTCTGGGAAGGTGGAAGGGGCCAAGCTCTCCGCGGGAGTCTGCCACTATCATCAGCTGATGTGCGGGGACCTGCCTGGGAAGGGCCCTGAAATCTGTCCATCATGGCCAGACCAGGGAAATGGGGTCCCCTCCCCCTCTCTTCCCAGGTTCTCTGGGACTGACTGTCACAAAACTGTTGACCCAAGGGGCAGGCAGAATGTGGCCTGGGGTATGGGCCCTCCCCTCCTCCCATCCCAGCCAGGCCAGGGGATGCAAGGCCCCCTGGGAGATGCCAGCTGCACCCGCAGGCAGGGCAGGGGGGCTAGAGTGCAGAGATGGCCCCCATGTATGCCCCACCACAACGGAGGCCAGAAGAAGCGGGGGAGCATGGTGGGCAGGCCCATGAAATGACCACCCCCATTCAAGCTTCCACATGGACTTGGGAGAGGGGTCCTGGTCACCATCAGTACCCTGTCCTCCGAGGCCTGCTTTGGGGCCGCACTGCTGACCACCCTCAGGGCTGGTACTTCCTCCGTCCTAGATCTGGGTCCTCTGGGTTTTCGTCCATGACAAGTTAATGAAGCCCTAATTAGCCTCTATCTGCTGTTAGTCCCTGTTAACCCTTGGTGGGGCTGGAGGCCCCCTGACCCAGTTTCCTCGCCAGCCTGTGCCAGGAGGCTGTTGCCCGCCCTCAGCAGGTGAGGCCCCCAGATCTGGAATGACTCTCTGAACGCCCACAGCGTACTGTGGCTGCTCGCCCACTAGCCCAGCGTGGGAATAATGAAGCCCATTTGGAGAAACAGAGACTGAGGGTCTGAGTGGGCTCCAGCTCACCTGACCTCACTCGGCTTGAGAGTCAACATTTGAGGCTGGGCCTGATGCCAGCTGCTTGTCACTAAATGCCAGAGCCCTCCCGGAGGGTGGAGGCCGCTGTTCCGAGGACCAGGATTGACACGTGGTGGTGGGTGGCTTGCGCAGGCCCACCGGGATGAGCTTTGCTTAGAGCTGAGAGTCTCTCTACCTGGTGACTAGGCGGTGACTCAGGGGTGCCCGGGGATGACAGCACCGTGGGAACAGCTATCAAGCTGCCACCGCCGCGGATCTGCTTAATGTCCCCACCTGGCGTGGCCCTTCAGAGCCCGGGCTCACCCTGGGGGTGGCCAGGAGCAGCCGCCCCCATCCTGCAGATGCGCACACTGAGGCTGAGCTGCTGCGAGCACAGTGGCAGCGATGACGATGCCCCCGAGGCCCAAGCGGCTAGTGAACGGCAGCACCGTGCGGGGGGGCCTGACGTGCACCGGTCCGTTCCCTCTAACCCGGGGTTCATTTCCCTCTCAAAACTGGGGCTGGGCTGTCCTTTGCCCAAGTCACCAGCTGGCGTGGGGCATGGAAGGGCAGGAGGAGAGGGCTGGGTGTAGCCCTTCTGAGCCCAGGTTCCACGGCTGGGTGGCTGTCTGCCATGACTCCCACGGCTGCTGCTTCAGCTCAATGGGCAGCAAGGCCACGGAGCCCGTCCCGGCCCAGACTCCTGACCAGAACAATCCCCTCCCCACCCCCACACACGGTGTCCCCTTCCTCATCCACCCTGAGACCCTGTGTCCTCCACCTCTGTCACAAGCATGCCACATCTTTCCAGCTTGCACACCTCCTCCAGGGAGCCCTCAGGGGCTGCTCCATGTCTCACAGCACTGCTGGCCCTGAAAGATCCCCCCCGCGGCTGCATCAAGTCCCAGATGTTCCCCTCTTTCTGATGCCACATCATGTCAGATGCCCCTCTCCCGCCCCCCCCCCACCCAACCAGAAGCAAGAGGTTCCCATCGTGCACACACGGATTCACCAGGGGCTGCTGGTTAAAAATGCAGGTTTCAGGTCCCAAATCCCCAGAAGTTCTGATTCCTCAGAACTGGGCGGTGGGGGCCCCTGCATCTTTCGTGCCCAGGGCACAGGTTGAAAACACAGTTCAAAGGCTGTGTCCAAAATAAGGAACAGGTCTTTTGTTGTGCTCAGACCAAGATACAAAGAAAGCGCTGCCCCCCAGAACCCCAACTTGTTGAATGGGGCTCAGGGGCCTCCCCTGCAGGCCCCAGGGGCCAGGAGGCACCCAAGTGACCTGCCCCAGGCAATGCAGAGAAGCCCCTCGCCCCATCTTTGGTGCTGCTTGGACACAGGCCCTCAGTGCAGGGGGCTCAGTCCTGCACCCCCAAATCCCTCCCAGACAGGCTGCGCTGTCCCCAGCTCCAGGGATGGAGCAGGTCCTGGCGCGGACTCCAAATGCCCCCCTGGCCCTCGCCAGGCCGGAGCAGACCGCTCTGCGGGGAGGAAGCCTCCAGCCCCGCTGGCCGCCACCCCCCAGACCCAGCCAGCGCCTCTTCCTCTGCATGGAGGGGGACGCAGCCTCCCGTGCGTCCCCGCTGCCCCAGAGACACCCACCTGGCTCCCTGTCCCGGGGCGCCCCAGGAGAGGGGCGGGGGGACCCCGGCGTGAGGTGGCCCCCAAAGTTTCCAGGGGGAGCGCGGGGGCTTGGCAAGGGATCCGCGCCCCGGAGGGGAGCGCGGGGCGAGAGTCCCCGGGCCAGGATGGGGGGGCCGGGGGACTGCGGGGCGCTGGCGGAGCGGGGGTGCTGAGCCTGCGCGGCCACTCACCTGGGCGGCTCCGGCGCGGACACGGCGCGGGCTGCGGCGCGGGGGCCGCCCGGAGCCGACACAGCAGCTGCCACCGCCGCCTCCCGGGCCCGCCGTGCGCGCGCCCGCCGCCCTCCCCGGAGCGCGGGGCGGCGGGCGCGCGGGGCTGCGCCGGGCCGTGCGCGCGGCCGGGCCAGGGTGCCCGGTGCCCGGGCCGCAGGTGTGCGGGGTGAGGGACGCGCGGGCCACGTGCACGCAGGTGTCGGGAGCGCGGGCCGTTTGTGGGCACCAGCCGTCCTTGGCACGAGGCGGGGACCCCCTTGGCCATGGCCCCGGTGGGTCTGCAGAGGCTGTGGGCCAGGAAACGCAGGGCTCCTTGTCCGCGCCCCTCAGGGACCTGACCCCAGTCCAGGCCACCCCCACCTGGCACCTGGACACCTGCTCTCCAGGCTCCCAACCCCGCGTGGGCCAGAGGGAGCTGAACCCCTGGGCTCCCCACTAACCCAGAATCCTGTCTGAGCTCCAGTTTGGCCCTGACTCCACTGAGGGCCCCCTGCTCTTCCTCAAACACGCCCTGGCCTGCCGGTCACAGGGCCTTTGCATCTACTGTTCCCTCTGCCTGGAATGCCTTTCCCTTCACCCTTCCCCAGCCAGTCTGTGGGCACTGTGTGTGTCTAACTGGGCTTTTTCACCACTGCACCTGGGGCTGGTACGCAAGTGCTCGGTGGGTGTATGTGGGAACAACGGGCCTTTCACTTTCACCTGCCACGGATGCCCCCACACTGGGACCCCACGTGAGGAGGGGGGCCCATCGCATCTATGCAAGTCATCTTTTGGAGCAGAATCACAGAATGTCCGGGTGAAGGGTCCCTATTCCTGACTCCCAGGCTTTGAAGCCGTGACTCCCAGGTGGAAGTGAATCGGGCAGAAATGGGGCCAGAAGTGGGGTGTCCTGACCCCCAGGACTGGGTTTGCCCAGAATCAGCCCAGAGCAGGCACTGCCCCATTTGGTGGCATCCGGCGAGGGAGGCAGATGTTACTGCAGCATGGGGGCCACGGGCAGAGGCATGGGGGGCACCCCCCGCCATGCCAACATCGCCAGCTGGGAACATGGAGAGCTCGCCAGGTGCTGGGCCCCTCTGACACTGCTGCACGCACGCCCCTGGGCGGACACTTACTATTTGTTTCACAGATGAGCACCCTGGGCTCAGAGATGCTATTTGTCCCAAGTGCGGGGCAGGAGGCGGGCCTGGCTGCCCAGGGGTCCTGGCCTGTCACCTTGCACGATCACCCCCAGCCCTCCCTGCCCACTGCGTCCTCCCAGCAGCTTCGATGGTGGCTCCGTGTCAGCTCAGCCACCTGTGACTAAAGCAGGCACTCTTCCCAGACTGTCGCATTGGCTGGAGGCCCAGAAACTGCATCCTGGGAGGCCGCAGGCTGGGCTCCCCACAGGAGGAGGGGGTGGCTCCCTTCCTGGCCTGGAGAGGTCTAGCAGGAGGCCGTGGGCACCCCTCGCTCCTGGCCCCACCCCACGCCAGTTCAGAGCTCTACACCAAGGTCTGTCTGTGGGCACGCTGTGTGACCTTGGGGCGGCTGCTTGCCTTCTCTGAGCTTCCCTGTTTTTCTCCTGATAACTACTTCTCAGGGCTCTTAGAGGGAAGCATTTATTGAGCACTACTGTGTACCAGGCCAAACACTGAAGGAAGAGGCCGTGGGGAGCGAGGGGGCTGGCCAAGGGTGGTAAGGGAGCAGGAAATTATGGGGGTGGGTGTTTGCTGAGAATGGGTGCTGGGGACAGTCCTGCAGGGTGACAAATGCAAAGGCCTGGGCTCCCATCTAGGCCCTCCGCTTTGTAGCTGTGGGACTGTGGGAGACTGCCCCCCCAGGCTCAGTTCCCACATCTGCATGACGGGGCTCAGAACAGCACCTGTCTTCTAGGGTCACAGAGATTCCACTCCCACAGACGGAGGGGGACACTGGAGCGCTGGTGGCCCTGCCTGGGGCCTGTGGTCATGGCCTGGCTGAAGGACAGGGCAAGGCCTCAGCACACACCACCTCAGGACCTTTGCACAGCCTTCCCCAGACATCTGGGGCTCCCCCTCACCTCCCCCTGCTCCTGTCCCTCCTGCACCCCACCACTAGAATACTCTGTGATTCACTGATTGGTCTTGTTTGCTCTGGGCCTTTCCTTCTTCGCTGCGGTGGCTCAGGTAGGCACACAGTAGGCATGCAATAAACACTGACTGAATGAGCGAGTGATCCATTCACTTGCTGGGTGGGAGATCTCGCCCCTGAGGTGGGGCTTCTGGGGGTCTGAGTGGGGAAGCGGCTCCTGAAACCCTGATTCATCTTCTCCCCACCCCCTGTCCCCAGGGGAAGCCTGCCCAGGGCAGGATCACACCTGTGTCTGCTCATGATGTTTACCCGGAGCACATAGTAGATGGTCAGCAAATGGCTAAAATGTGTACATTGGCATGAGCAGCTCAGGGGTGGCCTGCCCAGGTCCTGCACCCCAACGGTGCCTGGGAAGGGGGTGCAACCAAGGGGTGGAGGCTCCCAGGCTGTGGGACTACTGTACCTGGTTGCCAAAGTCACAGCCCCCTGTGATGGGGACGTTGCTGTGGAGACGGACCACACAGGAGGGGACCACATGGGGAGGCCTGAGATGGGGAGGGGGCCACACCCAGGGGCCTCCGATCCATCCTCAGCCTGGCCCATGTGCCTCTGGGTGGCAGTGCCTGGGGGCCACAGCCTCTCCCACCCTGCACCCTCGTGCCTGGGAAAGCCGGCAGCCTCATGTGGCAGTTGTTATTTCTAACATTAAAGCCCCCCTCCTTGTACCCTCTCTCCAGTGGGACGTGCAGGGTGGAGGGTCAGTGCCAGTGTAGGAAGGTGGCTTGGGGCTCCCCGGGCAAGTGGCTCCCCCTGTAGTTGGAAGTGGGGTTGTGCGTTGCTGAGAGGCCAGTGCCGGGCAACTGGGGCCTGGGCTCCAGATCCAGGTTCCTGGGGCTGCACTGGCCCCTGCTGTGTGACCTTAAGTCAGTGACCTAACCTCACTGAGCCCCAGTAGCCTCACCTATAACAGCCAGTCCCTCTGGGTTGCCAGGAGGACAAAGTGGACACAAGACGGCCCGGGTCCATCATAAACAACCAGGAACAGTTAGTGGACATTATTTACTGAGCCAACATTTCTGCATGCTGTGCACCTTCCCAGGGGACACCAGGTCCCCAAACAGAGCTCCCGCATCCTGAGATGGGGAGACAAATGCACCCGAGGTCCAGACCCCAAGGTGACCATCACAGGAGGACCATGCCCATAGGACAAGGGCTATGGGTCTGTATGACGGGGCACTGCCGGGAGGCACGGCGTGGGCAGAGGCCAGCAGGCCAGAGGTTAGCCAAGCTGCTCTGTGGTGCCGCTGCCTCGGCATCCGTTTTGTCTGGGCAAGTGGCCTGCGGGGGCCTTACGCTGACCCTGGGTCCCGCACCACAGCCCCTGACCTAGACAGAGGAGGCGGGGTCACAGGGAAGTGCGAGTCCCATGTGGCCCCCCAGTGGCCCTGGTGAGCAACAGTCTCCCGTGTCCCTGGGCCTCCCGCGTGCGCCTCGGGTGAGACCCACTGGAGCTCACTGGGAACCCCCAAACACTGTACTGGTTGGCCCTCCAAAGGCTTGTGCCCCAGGCCCTGCCGCCCTGCCCAGACCAGGTGCGGTTCCCAGGTCCCCCCAGGGCCTGTGAGGAATAACCTTCCCCACTTCGCTTCCTCTGTGGCCCCTTTGTGGAACCGCAGCTCAGATCTGAGCCCCCGAGCTCTCCTTGGCCACTGTTCATTTAACAAAATCACAGCAAGGGTCCAGTGGCTTGGAGAGCCGCTAGCTGTGGGCACAGAGTGGGGAAGATGTTGGAGGCCCTCAGATCTCATCCCGAGGGAAGTAGGGAGCCATAGAGGGTTCTGGGCAGGGGCACCAGAATTGACTGCAAGGCCTCATGAGGGGATTCGAGGTACAGAAGCCAGGGCTTCAAGAAGTGCCTCCTGACACGGGACCTCTTCCCACCCAGGGCAAGTTCTGGCCTCAGAGTGGACTTGGCTCATCCAACGTTTTAACAAACCTCCCCACCGCGTACACCCTGAAATCAAAATCCCCAGCAGATCCCAAAGGAATCTAGGCTTAAGTTAACTTTTTGTCATGAACATTTTCAAATGCAAGCGGAAGCTGGCAGAATCGTGTGACGAACCCCGTGAACTGGCTCTCCCGTCTCCCAAACGGGCCGTGTGGCAGCGAATCCATGACGCCGCACAATTCTGTCCCTAAATACGTATATCTCTAAAATGCAAGTACTTGGGGAAAAAAAAACCTAACCAACAATACCATTATCATCCTTGAAGAAATTAATAGTAATTCCTGAATGTTCTCAAAAGTCCAGGCAGCTCCCAGTCTTGTCAAATTGTTTTCACACTGTTCCGATCAGGACCCAACTCAGGCCTGTTCGTTTGTGAGCCTGCGGGATGGGGTGAGGAGCAGCAGCCGCATGTGCAAAGGCCCCAAGGCAGCAGCCAACCTGGGGTACTGGAGGGCCGCCAGCAGGCTGCAGGGGGGATTTGGCAGGACGGAGGGGTGGTCTGGCTTCTGAGATCTGTGCTAAAAGCGTCAGGATAAATTCTGGAGGTTGGGCTGTCAACACAGGCTGATGGATGGGACGAGTACACGAGCAAAAGATTGTGGGGTCAAGGGCGACCCCAAGGATCTGGGCCTGAGGGCAAGAAGTGGGGGAGTTCTGGGGATGGATCTGGGTGCGGGGAAAGCCGGGAAGGTGGCGGGCAGGAGGGGGCGGTATTTGCTGGCTGTGTGTGCTGACTTGGGGCGCTCTGAGGTGCCCCTATGGGCATGGACCTGGTGGGCCTGGTACGGCGAGCAGGTGGGCAGGGAGCTGGAGATCCTTTGCCACACTGCAGGGCAGGGCAGCCCCTCAGCAAGGCCTCATCTCCCCGCCCCCCAGGAGCGCTCTTCATTCCTGGGGGAGTCCTGGCCCCTGCCAGGCAGGGTGGGCGCAGCAGGCCGGCCTGGGCCCTGAAGGGAGCTGGGAAGCATGGACACAGGGAGGCTGAGGGCGCCAGAGGCCCTGGCTCAGTCCGCAGCTCCCGGCCACCCCCATGAAGCTCTGACGGGGAGCCTGATGGGGAGGTGGGGTCCTCTGGGAGGGCCTGGAGCTGGGGGTCTTCTTGAGCACAGCAGGGGGCAGGACCCTCACGCTGGGGCTGTCACCCTCCCACCCTGGGCTGACTCCGAGTTCACACCAACAAGCACAGACACTGGGGCGCTCCCGCTGGGCTGCGGCTCCCTGTTCACAGAGGCGCCTGCCTCCGCGTCCTCCCCTGGGGCTGAGGCCTCCAGGCTCTGAGCAGGAGACCAGGAATGCACAGCCTCACACCCGGATGCCACGGGGGCCGTGGGGGCCCTGAGGCAGGGGGTCCTCGCTGGTGCTCAGGGGCTGAAGGGTGGTCTCCCCTTGGCTGCTGGCAGTGTGAACAGACCTGCATGGACAGCAAGGGGACCGGCTCCCTGCTGGCTCCTTGGGCTGGGCGGGCAGGCAGGGTCTCCTGTCTTTCCCTCTACGCTGTCCCCATGTGTGCCCCACGTCTAGCTCTGGGCCTCAGTGTCTGCACCCGTGAGATGGGGCAGTTAGCCTTGACAGCTTCAGAGCACAGGAAGAGTGGGTGAGGACAGACAGTGCTGGAGGCAGCTGGACACCTGGGCTAGAGTCCCGCTGTGTGACCCAGCGTGTGTCTCTCAACCTCTCTGGGCCCCCTGTCTGTCTGTGAATGGATCACACGGGGTCTCGGGGAGGACTACGTGAACCCGAGGGTGTGCATTAGCCCATCCTGTCTCCAGCGCTATTCCGGGGGCAAGGCAGCTGAGGTGCGGAGGGGCAGGGCTGACCGTCAGCAGTGCCAAGATCCTGTCCACCTTCGGAAGACTCCAGAATCTGCCGTGGGGTGGCGTCCTGGGGCCCTCCCCCGAGTCTGGGCTCAAGCTTGGGCCTGTCCCTATCTGCCTGTTTGCCGGGGCCTTTAGCAACGTCCCCCGGAGTGGGGCCTCAGGGCCTCTTGGCCAGCACCTGGCCACACATGGAGCAGGCCTGGCCCCAGGTTCCACGTCTGCAGCCTCCACCCGCCATTCCAAGGTCCACACAGGCTGGGGACCGGGAGTGCAGAGGGTGGGATGTGGGCAGAGGTTGGCGGGCAGCCTCCCCCGGCATGGCGAGCTGGCTGGTGGGCCCGGGGAACCAGGGATTCATACCAGGGCAGGGAGGGCAGGGAGGGGAGGAGACGAGGACCCAGCGTCGCTGGCGGATCACTCGCCCCCTCTCCCTGCTGTGTCTGCCTTTGAACACCTTTCCTCTCTCTCAGTCTCTCTGCCTCTCCTTGTCTGTTTCTGGCCTTGTCTTTCTCTGACCCCTTGTAAAATATTAAATTCTCATTATAATACTAAATGTAAAATATTAAATATTAAACCTGTTCTTGTAAAGTATCAGCATGTTAAGAATAGGCTAACGCCCCCCACCCCCCATCACCTTCTCCAACCCCAGTTCAGCACAGGTTCTTCCAGATCTTTTTGTACACATTTCAAAGCATAAGACCTTTGTAAAAATGACCATCTTAAACGCATGCCGTATCATGGTCAACCTTGGGTTCACTCTGCAGTTTGTCACGGGCCTCTCAGCAGGTGTCGGTGGACTGTCACCGTGTAATGAACATCCCCCACGCTTAAAGCAACCATTCATTATTTCTCACAATTCTGTGGGTTGGCTGTGAACCTCCTCTCCTGGTCACTCCCAAGGCCTCAGACACCTGCAGGGCCAACTGTGGGCACGGGCGTTGGTGCTGGCTGTTGGCTGGGGGGCCTCAGCGCTCCTCCAGGGCCTCTCTGCCTCCAGGAAGCTGGTCCAGCTCCCTCAGGTCACAGTGGCCTCAGGGGACTCCAAGAGGGCAAAGGTGAAACTTCAAGGTCACCTCTGCCATAGTCTTATCAACAAGGCAAGCCCCCATATGCCAAGGGGTGGGGAAATAGAGCCCCCCTCTTGCTAGGGGGAGCTGCAGGGTATTTGGGGCTATATTTAATCTGCCCCTGCACAGACACCCACCTCTTTCATAAGAAGTCGCTTTGCATTGGCTGAAGAAACCTCAAGTTATATTGCAGATCCCCCAGTGATGGACAGCTGGCCTAAAACGAATTTCCAGTCCTTCACAAACCAGGTCAGAGTGATTCTCTAGGGTGGATACGTGTAAGTGGAACAAGCCATTTTATTCCCATTTCCGGGGAGTCCCGCCTGAGCCCCCAGGAAGCAGGGGTCTCCCTTTCAGGCCCCCACAACACTCTTTGCGTCTTCAGACTTAAATGCACAGCTTTGCAGTCTTTACCGACTCCCCACACAACTATGGCCCAGTGTCTGGCCAGAGTGGATGTGCAATGACTTTTCTTGAATTTGGGAGGGAAAGAATGGGGCCTCAGAGAGGTCACTCTAAGCCATGCAGCACACGGTCCTCATCAGCTGGCCCAGGGGTGGGGGTCTGGGTGGAGGGCAGTCTGTAGCCTGAGGGGCAGCTGAGCGGTACAGTGCTGGGGCCGGGAGGTCTGAGAGAGGTGGGGAGCTGGGAGACCAGGTCCTTCTGTCTTGGCCCCGACTGCCCCTGGGGGGGTCCAATGAGCTCTAAGTAGCCGCCTCTAAGGCCTTCCTGCTTCTCCGACCCCCTCCCCAGGTCAAGGCCCTTGGGCCACCTTGCTGGTGACCCTGAGGTCTCTGTCTCAGGCTGTGTTTTGGCCCCAGGCTGGTGCCTGGGTTCAGTCCCCCCACCGTGACCTCCCTGAGTCCTGTCCCCAGCGTCACACGGGCACCAGGAATCCCTCCCCGACAGTGAGGCACAGCAGGTTGGATGCTGGCATGCTGGGTAGGCCTGATTCTAGGTCATGGCCTTCCCTGGGGCTGCAACCTGCAGCTAGTCCTGCGTCCCCACCCCCATAGCCGCTCCAAGCTATGGCTCCAGATGACGCCTCTGATAAGGGGGATGGTGGGGCAGGGCGGCCAGATGGTGGGGACGGTGGGGCGGGAGGAGGAGGCTGGGTAGGCCCAGGATTCCCAGCAGCAGGCACTGATGCCACGGCCAGAGCACAGCCCAGACCCCGCGATACGCGGGAAGCCAGCTGGTTTTGTTTATTTAGTGACGATGATGGACGGTGGTGTGGGAGCCCATCAGCCCCAAGTCTGAGCTCTGGTCGCACACTGCTGCCGGCATCCTGCACGGCCCGGACCCCTCGCTGCCTGTGTCCCCAGCTGTAGGCGAGTTCCTGCCAGGTAGGCCACACTAAGCCCCCTGGAGTGACTGGACAGGCGCAGCCTGCTCCTCACAGGGAGAGTCCCACGGGGACGAGGTTCTAACAAGGACACTGAGTTTAGGAACCGGCCAAGCACAAGCCCTGCTTCCTGAAGACGGGGCCCCGAGGACCATTCCCGAGGATGAGTGGAGTCGGCCAGCCGAGCAGGGACAGCGCCGGGCCAGCTTGGAGGGCACGGCTCCGGCGGCTCTGTTCTTTGCGGGATGCAGCTGGAAGCAGGGACCTGACTGAGTTGCGGTTTTAGGGGACACAATGGCCAGCACACAGGCTGCTGAGGCCTGCAGGGCCCACTCCTGCTACGGCGCCCTAAGGGCTCTGTCAGGCCCAGTCACGCAGGCCCCTGTGCCACAGCCCAGCACGGACCACGGCTGGCACAGGACAAGCTCGGGTGGGCCAGACCAAATCCCTGGGAACTGGGCTTTGCCAGAAAACCAAGGCCAAGAGCCAAGACTGCAGGCTGCCGGACACTGGAAGTTTGCCATTTTATTAAGAAAAAAACAGAACCTATACAAAAAAGGACAGTCCGTTCCTGCGGTGGCACGTGGGGAAGCCTGTGTGCTAAGCGTCCTGCTGCTGGATGAAGGGGTTGGGGATGGCCTCCATGCCGTCCTGTGGGCAGATGAGCACCACAGAGGTGCCCCTGCATACCACCAGGCCCAGCTGGCGCGTGTCCTCGGTGAGCTTGTACTGGTCGTCGGGGTCTGTGAAGAAGGGCAGGGGGTGAGGCGGTGCTGGGCCCAAGGAGGCCGACGCCAAGGGGAAGGCAGCCCTTGGGGGGGTCGGCTCTGCGGACCCGAATCAAAGGGGAGGTGCTGGCCGGGCAGTGGGCCGTGTGCCCCCAAAGCCAGGGCACAGCCCCGCTCCGGGAGGCCCAGGAGAGCTCTGGGAACAGCTGTCTGCGCCGTCCTTCTACAATGAGAACACATCCGGCGGGGGGGGGGGACACGGGGTCACAGAGCTAACTGGGGGGCCCTGGGAGCACGCTGGCGGGCAGCTGCAGTAAGATCGATCTTGGAGTCCAGCTTCTGCAAAGCCACGGAGGCCCCGTGCAGCCACCATACCATCTCGTGTCAGCGGGCCACCGACAGTGCGGTGAGGGGCTCGGGGCCACGGCAACCAAGCCGTCGTCACCACGTGACATGGGGGCGGTTGGAGCAGTCAGGTCGGATGGGCGGCTCTCCGCCTGCAGCCCCTGCAGGAGCAACGGCCGTGCAGGGCCCAGGGCCTGGTCCAGGGCTGTCCTGCCTGACCTCAAGGGGCTGCTGCGCAGGGTCTGGGCATCAGGGAATGAGGGGTTGAGGCCCTGTGTCAGCAGCAGGGGACACCTGGGGTCCAGGAGCCCAGGAGGCAGGACCCGAGCACCCAGAGGTGACCTGCATCGGTGACAGGGGTCAGCAGAATGCTCCACACCTTCCAAACCCCCGAGACGATGGTCCCTCGCACTTCTTGGGAGCACAGGGACAGAGGGAGGTCAAACACAGCTGTTGGCTGCCTGGGCCCCCCCTCCCACGCATCACCCTGGGCGGAGCGGTGGGTAGAATGGCACGGAAGGCCCAGCGGAGGCCCTGCCCCCAGCCCGCTCACCTCTCATGTATTCAATGGTGCCGTCCAGCACGAGGTTGAGGAGCGGGTCAAAGCCTTTCAGGATCCCACTGGCTTGTAGCGATCACCGAGAAGAGAAACGCAGGGGCGCGAGGTCAGCAGCCGACCTGGGGGCGGCATGCAGAGGGCTCACCCCGCAGGCAGGGCACAGCCTGGCCAGGGGCGGTTACGGGGAAGGCACAGGAGGCTTCCAGGAGGGGCTCCTGGACGGGCAGCGGTGACAGCGGACCCCCGGCAGCGGGCCAGCTGTGCGGCCCCGCGGTCCCCTCGGCAGCCAATCCACAGCCTTCCTGGGATGGGTGCAGCCAGCGGGCAGGGACGGTGTGGGTGTGCGTCAGGAGGCTTCACTTGCGGACATGGAAACATGCAACTTCATGTAATTTTCATGGGTCATGAAACAGCCTTTTTCTGATTTCCAACTATTTAAAAATTGTAAACACCATTTTTGGCTCCTGAGCTGTGCTACAGGCAGCAGTGTTCCACACACCAGAACATTCCTCAGCCACAGAAAGGAAGGGGGGAGCTGCCAGACTGTGGGGGGATGCACCCCAGACACCTCCTACTCCAACCCCACCCTCCAGGCCTCTGCTTCCCTGGCCCCGGCCACCGTGTCACTCTGGCCCACACGGGGAATGCCGCCAGGCTGGGGCCTGCACCGCATAGCCTGCGGGTCAGAGCCAGTCTGCTGCCTGCTCCTGGGAGCAGACGTGCTGGCACGCAGGCGCGTTCACTTGTCTGCAGCAGGGTCTGGCTGCTCGGGCTGCCATGGCAGACTTGGGTGGCTGCAATCGAGACCACCTGGCTTGAAAAGCTGCAAACAGTCACTGTCTGGCCCTTTACAGAGGCCTGCCAGCCCCCCAGGGAAACCTGCCCTGACTTTCCAGGAGTGGGCCATTGACCCTGTCGCAGCCTCTCCCTGCAAAACAAAGATCGCGTGGACCTACTGCAGGGCCTAGGAGAGCATCAAACGCAGTCGCGCACTCAAGACACGTGGCACTGGGCCATCCCTGCTCAATGGAACACAGGGTGGGCAAGATTCAAAGACAGAGCCGACACCCCACCCTGGTGAACATGCCTGTGACCCCCTCCCCTTGAGTGCGGGAGGGGACCTGTGAACGGGATGGATATCACTCCCGTAGCTGGGCTGCATGACGAGGATGAGGGTTCTGTAGGTGCAGCTGAGGCCTGCAGGGAGGTGACAGTTCATGACGGGGAGCTGGCATGGTGGGCCTGCCCTGAGCAGGTGAGCGGTCAGTTCTGAAAGATTTAAGCATGTGGGGTCTTCCTGCTGGCCTCAAAGGGACACAGTGCTGTGCTGTGGATAGTCCTGTGATGGGCACAGCAGGCAGCCTCCAGAGCCAGAGTCCCTGAGCAACTCTCTCAGAAAAGGAAAATGGGGCCTCCAGTCCTACAACCATAAGGACGTGAGTTCCCCCAACAACCAGCAAGCCTGGAGGACCCCAAGCCTAAGATCATGGGCTCCTCTATTGCAACTCCATGCCACACCATGAGCCAGAAGCCCCCAGACGTCTGCCAGATGGTAAATTTGTGATGTATAATCTGTGTAACTGATGGCAATGTGCTACATGGCGCAGAAAACTAGTATAAATGCCCTGAGAAGCAAGTCACGGCCCAAGCCAGCATGGAGTCGACAGAGCAAACATTCTCCCAGATACACTCTCACACTTGCTGGCTACCTAGACTTGCAGGTACTGTGTTGTTAGTCACTCTAGTGCCACCTAACCGTCCCCATCTCAGGAAGAAGCAGTCTGCGTCACTGATGAAACACAACTGAAGATCTGAGAAGCAGCTGAAAGAAATGGGACGCTGGAGACTGCTCACCAAGTGTTGGGAACCAGGATAAATATGCCTTTCACCCTCTTGTCCTCACTGCCAGCCAGTGAGGTAGGTGGAGCTAACAGCCCTGTTTGACACATTGGTTAACTCAGAGAGGGTAGTAACTCGCCCAAAGTCCCACAGCTGGGCTGCGGAGGCGGTGGGGCTCTAACCTAAGCTTCTGGAGCGAGACCGGAGAGCACCAGGCTGCAGCGCGGCGGCCACCTGAGCAAGCAGCACCTGACCTCATTCCTGCCCTGGGTCCCACTGGAAGGTGCAGAGTTAAGCATCACGCGAATGCAAATAAAGCTACAGGTGCTATCAAGGAGCTTGTAACAAATGGGCGCGGCTGGGATCAGGGAGCCGGGGAAGGCTCCCCCAAGCAACAACCTTGAACTGAGAAGGAAGTGACTAGAATTAACCTGATGTTAAAAAGGGGCGGGGGGGGGGGCAACAGGTGAACAGGTGCAAAATGGAGTCACTGTGCTAAGTCCCCCGTCACCAAACCCATCAATACCTAACCTAACTGCAGGCTTTCCCAGGAATGTGACCTTCCACGGGTAGGTCCGGAGTCTCCTGGTCAGCACTGGCGAGACTGTCTGCCTGGGAGACCCCTGCCGCCCCCCAGAGGAAGGTACCTTGCCTGAAGCCATCTGCTCTGTGCTGGCTCCTGCCCCCTTCTGCCTATAAAAGTTCCCACTTTGTACGGCTTCTCGGGGCTCCCTTTTACCTACTGGGTGGGATGCTGCCTCATTCATGAATGGTTCAGGAAAGCCAATAAAATCTTTTAAAATGCACTCAGTTGAAGTTTTTTTTTAAACACCGCTAACAGGTGAAGATGGTAAGAGCATCCGAGGCAGAGAGCAAACACGCGCTTACCGCCTGCGGCAGGTGGGCGCCCATGTGCTGCTCAGAGGAACTAAAGTCCTTTACCCCGGGAACCGGAGAGCCCTGGACGACTGAACAGCAGACAAGGAGATTCCATCTGTTTTTAACAGGTCCCTCTGGTCCGCACCCCAGGTTAAAACAGGGGCAATTCTGCACCCAGGGAGCATCGCCAGCCGGGACTAGGGACGCTGTTCCACACCCCCCAGAGCCCAGGCTGGCCCCACAGAGAACCATGTGGCCCCGATGCCAACAGCGCGGGGCCCGAGGAGGCCGGGGCAGCCGCCCGGGCGGGAGCTACGGGCCCAGGACCGCCCAGGGGCCCAAGCCGTGAACCCGGCCCGGGCTGCGCCCCCGCGGGGTCCCCACCCGCGCTGTGGGGGGCACAGGGCCCACGTCCCGGCGCCGTGCGGAGGCTCGCACGAGACACCGCGCAGAACACGGAGGGCGAGCCGAGGACCTGCGCCCGCCCCCCGGCCCGCGCCGGGGCCTCACCTTCGCGGCCGCCCTGGAACTTCACCCGGATCGTCTTGTCGATATACTTGGACAAGTCCAAGATACTCTCCTTCTTCTTCTTCTCTTTGTCCTGCGGGGGAAGCAGAGCGCGTGAGGCAGGGGGGCGCGCGACCGGGAACCGCTCCCCTCGCCCGCCCCTCCGGGCCCGCCGACTCCGCCGCGCGCGCTCACCGCCATCTTTCTGCGCCGCGCCTGTGTGCGCAGGCGCCGACCTCGCGCCCTTTGACCTTGCCTGTGCGCGCAGGCGCGGCGCGGCTCGCAGGGGCGTTGCTGGGAAACATCTGGCGACGCCTGCGGCGGGGACCGGGCGCTATGGCAGCAGCGGCGGCGGCGCTGGCACGGCTGGCGGCGGCCTTCCTCCTCCTCACGGCCCAGGTGAGGGCGGCGCCGGCCTCGAGGCCCGGCTGTCAGCGGGGTCCCGGCCCCGGATGCTGCGGACCTGCACAGGGCGCGCCCGCCGGGCCTGGATGCGCGCCCCACCCCACCCCGCGCAGCGGCCCGCCGGCCGGGAGCCCGGCTGTGACCTTGCGGGCCTGACCCCCGCACGTGTCCCTTCCCGCCTGTAAAGCCCTTCTCAGCTGCAGCGTCATCTGGTTCCGCCCGGTTCTGAAGTTCGGGGCATCCCCTGTAACCCCGGGCCCTGCTGGCCGGTCTCGGGGTCCCTAACCGCCTCCGGGAATGTCCCTGCCTGGTTCTGTGGTCTCGATCCTCTCCGAGCCTCAGTTTCCCCTTTCTTGAGGTACCCCGTGGTTGTGGTAAGCCGTCCAGCGCGGCACGCAGTGCCTGGTAGTGTCGGGGAGAGGCCAGGAGTCCAGCCCAGGAATGGGGTCAAATGGCCACCCCGTCTTTGCTGCTCGACCTTGGGCAAGGGGCTTCCCCTCTTTGGGTTGCTCGCGTGCAAAAGGAAGGCTACAGCGCGGATTTAGCTGGATGCTCCATGGGCTGGTGATCACGGGGCGTGCTACTGATTTGTCACTTCTGTTAAGGGTCTTCGGCGCCAGTGGGGGACCGACCTTGGGATGGCCGATGTACATTGTCACAAGCGTATATTCTATTTCCGAATTCTTCCTCTCCCCTGGGTTCTGCAGCTCAGGGAGTGGTGTCCATACAGCCCTACAAATGCAGCCATTAACCTTGACCTACCGCTCCAGCCCAGAACCTCTCTGCTGTGGGTCCTGGCGGGCCGAGTTCTCCCTGGGGCCAGTTTTGTTCCCAGCATCCCTAGTGTGTTCTCAATACAGCAGGAGCGATCTCTTTGAAAGTGTGTCAGGTCTCGTGGCATCCAGATGGGAGCTTCGCGGTGGCTTCAGGCACGCTGGGGAGGCCTCTGTGGCCTGGCGGTTGGGAAGGTTCCCTCTGTAGCTCTAGTTCACCAAAGGCTCTCTGCTCGCTGCCCTCTGGTCTCAGCTGTGTCCCCCAAGTCTCCGGGACACCTGGTCCCCATTCTTTGCCAGCCCCCGAACTTCCCCCAAACCTGGTCACTCAGCTCCTCCCAAGTCTGAGTAGTTTGAGGGCAGCGACTTTGCGCTCTCAGACCTTTCACCTGAGGGCCGACCAGGATGTGGGTGATGGGTCACGGGGTGCTGCAGAGGGCGTGACTCAGTGTGCATGGGACAGCTTTACAGAGCAGTGTTTTGAAGGCTGAGTAGGAATTTGCCAGGTCTCACAGGCAGGTGCTGCAGGCAATGGGGGCAGTGGGAGCAGGGGTTGGGGAAGGTGAGGAGGCTGCTAAGACTGTGTGTAGGGGGTGCTCACAGCCTGGGCAGGCTGTTACTGATGGAGGGCCTTAGGGTGCACTTGACAGGAGGCTGGGGTTTCCTCTTCACTTGGAAGGACGGGGGGGCAGGAGCAGGCGTGGCTCTGGGCAAAGGGTAAAAGGCAGGCTGAGCATATGGCCTCTCTGGGCTGGGATCCAGGGGCACAGGCTGGACAGGTCAGAGGCAGATGGTGGGAGGCTCATGGTGGCAGGGTGTGTGGGCCTTGTCCCGGGGACACTGAGGGTTTTGAACTTTACCCTGCATGTGGGGAGAGAGGAGAACGTCAGAGAGAGTGAGAGCCCCGGGCCTGCGCCTCCCAGGACCAAGCCCAGGCCCGTGTGCCCTGAGAGTCAGTCTAGCTCTGCGCTGGGCAGAGGCTGCCTGCTGACAGCCCGAAATGCCCTTGCTGCCTTTGTGACCCCAGGATTGACCTCCCCGAGTAGAAAGCCTCAAATGGAGGTTGGTCCTCAGCAGGTCTGAGCTAACAGTAGCGCCCTCCCCGCCTCGCCCCTGCCCCCACCCCCTCCACCTAGACATCTTTTTCCAAGTGTCCTGCCTCCTTATTTCTTTGTGCTCTCCTAGGACTCACCAAGTCTTCTGGGAAGACTGCTCCCAGCTTGACTCGCCAGCCACTCAACCCTCTGGCGTGGCATTCCCCCACCCCTGGTCGCCCAAAGCCCGGCTTCCCCGGGAGGTCCTGAGCTTTGGGACTGGGATGCGCCCGAAGGTGGCCCATCCTCCGTAGTCCCAGCGATTTCTGGTTCCCTGAGGGGGAATGGGCCCTGCCAGAAGGCAGGGTGCTCCTAGCGCTGTGTCCTTTTGAAGAACTCCTGGTCGTGTGACCCAGCAGGGGAGGAAATTGTTCAGGAGGAATCTGTGGTCTCTCTGGTGTGTGACTCAAGCGTAGGTTTATGTCCTGGTGGAAAGCCAGTTGTGTGACTGATGGGGAGGAAAGTGCAGGGTGTGACGTTGTGCTTGTAAACAACCTTTTTAAGAAGAAATAGCTTCTGTCCACACCCATTTTACACAAATGGCATTTTCACTAACAACCTGGATCCCATAGAATGCGGTCAGCAAACATTTTCCCTAAAGGGCCAGACAGTGAATATTTTTGGCTTTGTGGGCCATGTGGTCTTAGCTGCAAGTGCCACTCTGCCATCGTCCCCAAGAGCAGCTAGCTATAGGGCCTGCATGTAGGGACGGGGTGGCTCTGTTCTAGTAAAACTACTTACAAACACCGAGTGAGGCCTGTGGGTGGAGAGACCATGTACTGCCTGTGGTGGCCCAGGGTGAGGAGGTGCCAGGGGTCTGAGTGTGGGGTGACCCACTGGAAGGGGCACATGGCCAGGCGTGGTGTTCAGAGCCAGGCTGAGGGTTGCCCCTGGGGGGCAGTTCTGTAGGGAGAACCTGGAAGCAGGGGCTCCTGATTCCGCCTCTGGTGGAGGGAACAAGGGGACATGTGTGGTGTGTAGAGGTTGGCAGGGGTACAGTGAGACCCCCAGGGGGCCTGAGGCAGCTCCCCAACCTCCCGCCCTCTTGGGGAGGTTCACCTCACACACCCATCAGCCCACTTGGCGGCCAGCGCCTCCCTCAAGGCACAGATCAGGGTGCCAGAGATGGTGCGCCAGCCGGAGTAGGGGCGGTCGGGCCTTGCTGTGCTGTCACGGAGGGCCTGGCCAGCTAAGAGCCAGGCTGTGCCCAGGCCTGGCCGGGGGCCATGGTCCATCAGGACTCTTGGCCAAGCCAGAGTCCCCACTGTGTCCCCAGCAGGCGCGGTGTGGACCCCACAGTGCTGCTGGTGTCTACTCCCATCCTGTGTCTGTTGTCACACGAGGCTGCTGTCTGTCCCCGTGGCGGGGTCTCGGGGGATACCTGGAGCGTACTCTCTGCTTCTGTCTCTGCCTCAGGGCTTTTCCAGCCCCGGGGGAGCACCAGCTACAGCAACACAGGCCCCAGCAGCCCACAGCGTGCGCACCGAGAGTCGGGGTCAGGCAGGCCTTCCAGCCCTCAGAAAACGAGGGCACAGCGTGGCTGGGCTTCTGGAACCCTTCCTCCCTCAGAAGTCCTGGCCGGCCCTGGGGGCTCCCCACACTCAGGCCAGCGTCCTGGGGCAGAGCAGCCGGGCCCCGACGCTGTGCCCGCTGGGGACCAAGCCCTCCGGAGACACAGAGGCCGTCCTGGCGGGAGCTCTGTGGCCCCGGCTGGGCTGAGCGTGGGGGCAGGTGGCAGGGGAGAGTACTTTCGATTTGGCCAGATGGTCAGCCAGTGGCTCCCAGGAGGGACCCAGGGATCTGTGCAGGGGATGGTGGGCAGGTGGTGGGGGTACTTCCATGTGAAGTGGTGGTTTCGCGTACATGAAGCTGCTCTCCAGGAGAAGATGAGAGCCGTCTGCTGCCATCCCCAGGCCCCGCTGCCCTCGAGGGAGGTGTCCAGTGTCTCAGGGACACTCGGCCCTGCCCCTCTGCCTTGCTGTGAATTCAGACAGAGCTTGCCGGGTCGGCCCATCGCTCAGTGCGGCCCTCGGTGAGCAGCCTGCTGCCCCCTGGGACTGGAGGCAGAAACCTGAAGCTGGCCACCAGCTCCTCCCTCTTCGTGGGAGCAGCGAGTGGGCCGGGTGCGGGGACAGGCCCTGCTCGGCGGGGTCAGGTGGCCAGAGGGGACATGAGCAGCTGCCCCTGCCCTGCTGGCGTCAGCCCAGCTCCTGTCTGCTACAAAATCTACACATGCCCCCCCGCCTGCCACACCCTGCAGCAGAGGTGCAGCTCCCAACGCCCTCTGGGGCAGCCCGGCCCCTCGGACTGAGCAGTTCTGCCGCATCTCCCAGCCGGGCAGGTCAAGGGTGCTGACCCCTGTGCCCTGTAAGGGGCTGGTCATGTGACCTGAGCTCCCACCTCCCCTGGAAAGGGGCCTGAGTTTCACCCGGAGCAGCAGGTCTTGCTGGTCAGTGGCCAGTGGGCAGTTTCCCCAGGAGTCTGTGGGTCACAGGTGATCCCCGAACCTGCTGGGGTGACAGAAGCTCCCCTAGGCCTCCAGCCACTGCCCAGTGTTTGGGATGGGTCTGCTGGCTCAGCCATGTCCCCTCCTGCCCCATCTATCCGGGGAGGGCCCCAGAGGGGGCACCATCCCTGCATAGGAGCCCCAGAAGGGGACCCCCCAGGGCTGTGGTCAGCCCTGGGTCTCCCGGGGTGCTTCCTGCTGCCCCTGCCACCCACCTCATCTTCTCCACCATGAGGCATGTCTCACTGGGGAGGAAACACACCAGACGCTTGGCTGGGCGTTGTTGTGTGGATGGCCCTGGTGAGGGAGGCGAGGAGGTGGTCTGTCGGCCCCCAGCCGATCTGCCCACTGCCCTCCTCCAGGTGGCCTGTGAGTACGGCATGGTGCACGTGGTCTCTGAGACGGGCGGCCCTCGGGGCAAGGACTACTGCATCCTGTACAACCCCCAGTGGGCACACCTGCCGCATGACCTCAGCAAAGCGGTGAGTGCCCGCGGAAGGCCCCCGGCTGGGAGTCAGGGTGGGCTCTGGCCGCACCCCGGGGGCTGCTGGAGCCCGTCCCCAGTGGGGCCTCGCGTGGCCTCGGCTTCCTGGGCTGGGAATGAAAGCCATCTGGGTGTCACGGGGGGCGGGGCCGGCGGGGGGCAGCACCTGCCCGGGGGTGGGAGGATTCTGTGCAGAGGCCTTGCCACCTGCCACCTGCTTGCGGCCTTGCGTTGGGGGATCTGCCCTCTGCCCCTGCCATGCGCCTTGCGCTGGGGGTGTGCCGGCGCGTGTGTGGGGGCGCATGTGTGGGAGCCTGTGCTCCCGCGTCCTGCTTGCCCGCCTCCCCGGACGGCCCCGGAGTGAGCACCACCTCCCCTCAGCCCCTCCTGCAGCTGCGGGACTGGACAGCCTCTGTGCTCTGCCTGCCCTCCGACCTCCCCACCAAGGGCTTCAGCAACCAGATCCCGCTGGTGGCGCGGGGGAACTGTACCTTCTACGAGAAAGTGAGGCTGGCGCAGGGCGGAGGGGCACGTGGGCTGCTCATCGTCAGCAAGGAGACGCTGGTACGGCCGCCAGGGACCCTGGGGGCAGTGGGCACGGGTCTGACCTCCTCCTGCGTGGGGAGCAGCCCGCAGGCCCCAGAGTGCCGTGTGCGCGGCTGCTGGCTGGGGTGTGGGTGGCCCTGTGGAGGGAGGCGAGGAGGCGGTCTGCTGGGCTCCAGCCTTTGGGGTCCAAGGGCCCTGTGCCAGGCGTCCCGGTGCTGGGGAGACTGCACACAGCCCCTGACATGGCTGCGGGCCGGGGCTCTGGGGACGCCTTTGGGGGAGCGGGTGGTGAGGCCACCCTGGCGGGAAGCGGAGAGGGCCTTCCCCACCCAGCACAGGGTGCTCAGTCCTGCCGCCCGGACCTCTCCTCCCCGCCACGCGGCTCCCTCGGAGCCTGGCAGCCTGCCCCCTGCCTCGCCGGCCCCGGCCAGCCGACAGGTGCCCCTCCCTCCGGCTCGCAGGTCCCCCCAGGCGGCAACAAGACCCAGTATGATGAGGTCGGCATTCCCGCGGCCCTGCTCAGCTACAAAGACCAGCTGGACATCTTCAGGGTAGGGCCGCCCCCGGTCTGCGGAGTCAGGCGGTGGGCCGCGGGCCGCGGGCCGTGGGCCGGGCTCCGGCATCTCTCCCCAGCCGTGCCCCGCCGCCTCCCTCCCCGCCGACGCTGCCCGTGCAGGCCTGGCCCTGCCCGACCAGAGGCCTGGGTTCCCCTTGGGCGTGGGCGGTGGGTCCTGAGCAGGTGGGCTTCATTACGCGGGGGAGTCAGGACACGCAGCCTTTGTGGGGACCTCAGGCAGCTCCCAGGGAGTGCTCCGAGCAAGCCTCCCACCTCCCCCGGGGGGGGGACACCGTGCTGGGGGCCTTGGCCGGGCCTGAGCGGCACGTCCTCCTGGCAGAGCTTTGGCCGCGCAGTGAGGGCGGCGCTGTATGCGCCCCACGAGCCCATGCTGGACTATAACATGGTGGTCATCTTCATCACGGCCGTCGGCACCGTCGCCCTTGGGGGCTACTGGGCGGGGGCCCGGGACGTGAAGAAGTGAGTGCCCTGGGCGTGTGTGCACGGGGCTGCCCGGAGCGGGCTGCGAGGGTCCGTGGGCAGGGTCCGGCACGCCCTGGCCGCACACGCGGCTCTCCGTCACCCCGGGGGCGGGCGCCGGCTCTGCCGCAGGACGCGGGACGCGCGGGTGTGGGGGCGGCTGTCCACCGAGCACCTGCCGGCCTCCACGCCCCCTCTCGCCGCCGGCCCTGCCCCGGAGCTGGGCCCCCGCGGGCCGTCTGCATGACCTGTCTGTGCCCCGAAGAAGGTACATGAAGCACAAGCGGGGCGACGGGCCCGAGAAGCAGGGGGACGAGGCCGTGGACGTGACGCCGGCCATGATCTGCGTGTTCGTGGTCATGTGCTGCTGCGCGCTGGTTCTGCTGTACCTCTTCTACGACCAGCTCGGTGCGCCTGCCGTCCCCGCCCGCCCCTGCCCTGCCTCACCT